GCTCGCCGACCGGGAATTGAATTATGCAAATGCATCCGTGGCTCATGTCCATTTACGTGCCGAAATTCTCTCTCTCCCCCTCCCCCTCCCCCCTTCCTCCCTTTCTCCCTTCCTCCCTGCTGCCGCCAGGCGACGCAATCACGATTGCGCCGGTTCCAATCGCGATCGCGCAAAGTTCCGAGCCCTTTGAATTATCCAGCACGCCTCGTTAAGGTTTTTGTACGTAAAAAATCCGTAACCGTAATCATAAGGCCGCAAGTTTTTAGCACGTGCAATTATGTGGAACGATGCGAGTGAAAATTAAAGCCGTAATCGTAATTGCAAGATTTCCGTCATGTTGGAATTTTATGATTAACGCCTTACGGTTAACCGTATACCAATAAAAAAGCAGCAAAGTGATGTACATTTTACTCGGCGGTAATATCGTTTATTAGAGACCCTTTTCATGTAAACATCGAGAATTGCGTTGCTTTTTATATGCTATCTCATCGCTTAAATTACGCGCTTGAATTATTAAATATACGGGATGGGGGAAAAGGTCAGACTTCCTGAATTTTTCCTGAAATATCTCAAGAAATGTTAGGCAAACATAAAAATGTCTCAGACAAAAGTTGTTCAAATTAATTGGTAGAAAAAGATGATAGTAAGAAATGATAATAAGAAAAGATGATGAGAATAAGAAATGGGGGTTCTCATTTGAAATTGAATTCAAGGTGACCTTCCCGTAGCTTTGACGACGCGGTTCAAGGTCGCATACGCGATTACGCTTACAGATTTCCTACGTGTAAAGGCCTCCTTTACTTTAGATGAAATACAAAGGTGAACACGAGCTCTCTCGAGTATCGCGCGCGGCGCGATACTCGAGAGAGAGCTCGTTCGTTTGCATCCACGACCGCGGCGGCGCCGTTGCCCCGCATACGCACCCTGGTTACGCCCGTGAACGACGAGTGTGTTGTTTTCACACGACTCGCGCGCCTGAGCGAGCGGTCGCGTCGCGACGCGACGCTGTAATTGTCGCGCACGCGAGTCCCTCGTCAATCAATCGTCCCTGTCGCGCCGCGGGAACCCCGTCACCGAGCAGAAAGAAAGAAAGGAAGAACGACTTCCCGCCCGCCGCCATCACAACGCCGTTTTAATACAGCCACGCGTCCCCTTTGATTTTCCGCAGACCGATTCGTCACGATCGAGCCTCGCGAGTCGCGTCGATCGTAATTACTCGCAGCATGTCTCGCCTGAGTATCTCCTCCCACGCCCTCCGAGACCTCCCCAGGAAGCCTCCCTCCCCGGACGATCCATCGGAAAAAATGAGTCTCTGCTATGGCGCGGTCGCAGCTTTCTCGCTCTTTCTTTTTCCTCTCTCTCTCTCTCTCTCTCTCTCTCCCCCTCCCCTCTTTCTCTCTTTCTTCCATTTCAGTCCTGCGCTGTCCCCGTCGGGTTTGGATCTTTATGGATCTCAAGTGGATGTTACGTGTACACGCGTGTACAATCGAAATCGTATTATTCGCGCTTGGGTCGCTCCGAGGAAACGTTAAGCCCCGAGCGTTACACGCGAGTGACGCTTGTAGACCCCTCGTAGTACGTGCCATCGCTTATAAGCCTACTTGTAATTGGATTACAGTCTTACGGACACCATCCGTACACTCCGACATAGAAGCTCAAAGCGAAAGGGAGCCGCGCCACAGATTACGCGCGTTAAAGATGCAAAAATGCGCGCACACGATATCAGACGACGACGACGACGACGTCGATTGAGCGAGCGAGCGGCCGGTGGCGCATTTTCGCGTACACAGTCATGGGAAGCACATTAACCCACATTGTCGGGCGAGCGTGCGATAATAGTACACGTCGACGAGAAAACACGAGAAAGGGAGAGGCCACGCGACCGTAAGCGCGACGTTTCGCCTCCTGAAACGGCACGTGTCTACAAAAGCGCGGCTCTCCAACCCTCCGCGAAACACACTCTGTCGGACGTGGTATTTATATAAGGCTACTTACCTTTCTCTCTCTCTCTCTTTCTCTCTCTCTTTCTCGAGAGAGAGAGAGAGAGAGAGAGAGAGAGAGAGAGAGAGAGAGAGAGAGAGAGAGAGAGACAGAGAGCAGAAGCAGCACGTGTTCGGCCGACGTCGTGTGCGCGTGAAGGAGGGAGAGAAAGAAGGATGGCGCGCACCGCTGGAGTATCCCCTGTAATTTAAATTTCAAAACGGACTACCGTGTCGAGAGAGGAGAGGACCGCATCGGAAAATTCGACGCGCCGTGTGAGGAACGGTCGATGATGAGTTTCCGCCCGTATCATCGTTTATGCCCTTTGTATAATAATCAGACCGTTTCTTTCGTTTTCTTTTTACCTTTTTCACGGGACACGGTGTATATATTTCGGGTGAAAAAACGGAGGAAAACGCAAATTCACGTTAAATGTCTCAGTTGTGTGCGAGAGAGAGAGAGAGAGAGAGAGAGAGAGAGAGGGGGGGGGGATCAGTGAGTTTGAAATCCTTTGGGAAATAAATACAGAGTCGTGCGCGCCGATTGCAACTCGATCGAGTTTCGATTCTCCCCCTGCTCGGTCCGTTTCGCTCGAATAGACGCGATTATCCTTATCAATGGGATTATGCAGAGAAAGCAACGCGAACAGCGGAGCGTGCCCCTCGATCCTCGATAAAACGGCTCGATGAATCGAGTTACTCGTACGTAAATTATCAAGAGCGATCGCTCTTGAGAGAGAGAGAGAGAGAGAGAGGGGGGGGGGAATAGGGTTTTAACCCGTCCGATGGCCGACGCGCGGGAGAGAGACGCGTGACGGAAACAATTAATCGCATTTCTCACGTCGCGCTCTGAAATAACCGCATGAAGTCGTTACGCCAGGCCAGCTGCGAGAAGCGGCCCGCCGCCCGCGCCGTCACTTTCGACAGCAATTTGTGTCGTCACTGGTGTACGCTTCCACGTGGCTAAAGTCGCGGAGCGACGAACACGTGTGGGAGATTTTCCGCGGCGAGGAAATACCGAGGAAATACCGTCGATAAGGAGCCTCTCCCGATCCGCCACGCCACGCCGATGACCGCAACTGTACCTGAGGAACCTGCCAGTGAAAGGGTCGTGAGTGTATGTACCTGCGTGTCTGGCTGAACGTTCGGGACAGACACGAGTGTCCTTTTATGGCAGCGAGCTGCATTCTTGATGGGCTCGCAAGGTTCACACAGCGCGCGACCTGACCGCTCCGAAAATAGAAACGATCCGATCTGTCCATGTACAATGAACTCGAGACAAGTCGATGCAAGTGGACGAAGAGACGGTTCCGAGGCGGGGGCGAGGGAGAGAAGAGGTGTACACTTCGGATATACAAGTTTGGCCAGGTCCTCGGGATCGAACGGTCTGAATTCTAGCGAGTGTCGATTCACTCGACGGCGAGTGGGCGACGGCGACGGAGCTCTTCACGCCGTAACCCGTCGTCGTCGAAACGCGACTTGACGGCGGCGTCCTGTCGGGGGGACAACAGCTGAGGCTGCGAAGGCTCCGAGACTCGATTTTCTACGTTGCTTTTCGTGGAAGCGCGCGGGCAATTATATTTAGCAAGGCGACAGCGCTAATGATCGCGAGTGGTGCATTAAATTTCGAGCCGCGCGCGGCGCCGACGCTGTCGCCGGAAGAACTTCGCCGAAGTCGCGCGCGTATGACATCACTGTTTGCCAACGGCGATGGAGGCGCGAGATAAAAAGCCAAGGAGAGGGGGGGAGAGAGAGAGAGAGAGAGAGAGAGAGAGAAGTGGGAGAAAAAAGTGCGCGCGGAAAGGGAACGCCGCTCGCCGTCGCCGCGTCGTCGGAGGCGCTTCAATTGAACTCACTTGAGAGGGTGGATACGGGGCCCGGTCGCGGCCGCAGCTTCCTCGTAAAACACATCTAGCGTACGCTGCACTTCGGGACGTGGTGGACGTTTAAGTGATCGTTACGTCTCCTCCCGGCACAGTGAGGAGAGACGTCGGCTCGCTCGTTCGTCGTATCTCGAAATAGACGCGACAGATGGACGGCGAGGGATGGCGCGACGCTTGGTGCTAGGATTTTATGGATTTAAATTGGCCAAAGGATGGCCGGGAAAGAGAGAGAGAGAGAGAGAGAGAGAGAGAGAGGGAGAGCTGCATCGCTGATGCTACTGCTGCGTGCCCAATTGGCGCGCGCGTGGAAACCGGCTCATTGACTTTTCGAATGAAACCAATTGCTCCCGCAGCACCGATACACGATCCGTCGTCTGTCGCGCTGGTTGCTCGCGTGTGTGCGTGCGTGTGTGTGTGTGTGTGTGTGTGTGTGTGTGTGTGTGTGTGTGTGTGTGTGTGTGTGTCGCACATCCGTTGCGGAAAGTGTCGAGCTAATTTATGTGACTCGGAGTAAATCTAACGGAATAAAATAGGAGAGATGTAGCGCACTTGAAATTTTTTTTCGAGCGAAACCGCGCAAACAAAACGCGAGCGAGAACTCGGTCGGAGCGGCCGGAAAAATACTGCCGCTAGAAATCACAAGAGTGAGTGTGTTTCAATCAATTAGGGCAGATTTGTCGCTGCGATGGAACGGGACGCCCATCAAGTTCGCTCTTTCAATTTCGGAATGAAAATATACGACTCGCTTGACGATTCGGAACGGACAGTTCGCTCTATGAGCGAGTGAAAAATCATTCGGAAAAAGAAAGGAACATCACGACACGACACCGTTTCCTTTTATCGCGACATACGATTGTCAAATTATACAATTGTCCGTACGATTGTCAAGAGATCTGACAAGTAGGCAAGGGAAGCAGCCTTGCGACATAACAACACTCCTCTTACAACAGTCAGTTGTAAGATAACAATCTCTGTCACCTGTATTAATTATCATACAATCAATTATAATAACAATATCACACTCGGGTAACATTCTCGTCTGGAGAGAGCGCGAGTTGGCGTGCAACCTACCCCCTCCGACATCGCACCGATCTCTCACGTCTTTTTCTCTCCCTCTATCTCTCTCGTCATGTTACAGCAAAAGTGCGTGAAAGCGCGAGCTCTGTACGACAATATCGCGGAGGCGCCGGACGAGCTAGCTTTCCGCAAGGGCGACGTGCTCACCGTGCTGGAGCAGAACACCGCCGGCCTCGAGGGATGGTGGCTGTGCGCTCTGCGAGGACGGCAGGTACGTAATTCATTATTCTCCAATCATTCCGATAAGCAGCGAAATATTAAATATTGTATAAAATAGAGTCGCGTCGCTCGCTCCACTTATGCGAGGCCGAGTAGCTCTCGCGTAAGTCGATGCAGCGAAGCGACTCCGGAGAATCCCCGGAGAGATATAACGAGGCGAGAGAGCGTTATTATCGCGGAAATGCGGGACTAACGAAGGTGCATCGTCAGCGTCGCAGTTACCGCCGAGATCTAGAAGTCTCATCTGCGCGATACATCACTTTGACATCATAAATATATATTTTACCAACTAGATGCGCGCGCGCGGGGCCCCCTTTTTTGCTCGTGCTCGTGAACAGACGTGCTCCCCGTAATTCCTGGAACGCGTCCGCTCGTGATAAACGAGAGAGCCGCGCTCGCCTATCTCTTGGAAATTACTGACGAATGCACCGGTATAAATCTATTAAGCGGCCCGGAAAGTTTGCTCCGCGCTCCTTCTTCCGATAGCGGGGAGACTTGATCGCCTCCTTAATCGACTGGAAAACGTTCGGTTTATCTGAGCGGATGCACTCGTCCCTCGGCTACTTTGTAAGTGTCGCCTCTCGGCTGCCGCTCGGCGAGTGCCGCTGCCTCTGTGTCTCTGTGGCTCTCGAGATAAACAAATTAATAGGAAACGTCGGGCTTTAATCTCACCGGCGGCAACGAACTCCTCTCCGTGCGCGCGCGATTCGCCGCGCCGGCGAGTTTAGCGCGCGATTTACGGCGAGTCTCTCGGAAAACATTCAAAGGTGAACCCGAGATCCTCGTCCTCGCGGAGAGACGTGACGCTGCTGTTGACAATCTCGTGGTCGTTATTCCACGGAGAGCACGCGCGCGCGCGCGTAAGGCTCATAGCGTCTCGAGATTTATGACTTACAACTTTGTAACACACCCGAGACGCTCCGCGCATCGCACGGATAAACGTATGAATTACGCGGTGTGCATCCATTCAACAGCGCCGCCCGGCGCTTCTCAGGGCATCGCGACAGGGAAGGGTGCGACGTTTATTTTCGGCTGGATTTTCGACAGGATTAGACAAACGCTCGTGGTCTGTGAGATCCGCAGACGCCTAACTGCTAACCGTCTCTCTCTCTCTCTCTCTCTCTCGCTCGCACACTCTTCCGTGACGCGTGAGAGATTGCGCTCTCTCTCTCTCTCTCTCTCTCTCTCTCTCTCTCTTGGTTGGGAAAAAGTAGCTGGGTGTATGAATGACTGACTGGGTGAGCGAACGAATGTGAAAAAAAGCTCGCTGAAAGATCCCCGACAAGGAAAGTCAATCGTGGACACTGATTGAGCGCGTCGAGTTCTGTCCGTGAGAGAGAGAGAGAGAGAGAGAGAGAGAGAGAGAGAGAGAGAGAGAGAGAGAGAGAGAGGGAGGGAGGGAGAGAGAGAGAGAGAGAGAACAGCGACGAGAGGACGAGACGCGCGAGATAAAAAATGTGTTCACTCGCCGAACGAGTATAATCGAGTCGTTATTATTAGTTGCTCGCGAAAGTTCGTACAACATTAAATCCATTTTTATCTATTACTAACAGCGAGATGATATTTTGATGAGAGTATCTGCCGTCGTAAAATTCTAAATTGTAAAATCATAAGAAAATTGACCAACCACAATTGATTATTCTTCCTTATGGTCGTGGATATTGCGTTTTTCTGAGGATGTTGATGGTTGGCTGGAAAGCAACTCATGGGACCTTTTGCGTTCAGAACTGTCAAAATCGATCCACTTTTCATTACCCGTCGCTATTCACCATAAAAAACTCTTTTCTGCGCCTGACAAGCAACGAGAGACAGACGGTAAATCGGCTTGCAATCTCGCAGAGAGTTCATGGGGGGAAGCCATCTTCCTTTTGGATTTTTCCCAATGCTTTCAAATGACGAGATACTGTTGATTCATCAACTCCAAGCTACCCCGCGAGCTCTTTTAACGCTTGGGCCGAGTTTCCTTTGAGCAATGCTTCCAATTCGTTTCCATCTCGTTTGGACGACCAGAATGCGGTTTGTCGTTGACATTGTAATCATCATTTCGAAACCTTTGTTGAGCCTCTTCTCGCAGGTAGCAACGGACATGTCTTACATCTTCTCCACAAGTCAGTCTTTCAGTCAGTTGTGTCGCGGCGTTTCCTCTCACCTCAATTAAAACGGTGAAGCATGCAGTGCATGCAGAGACAAACTTTACCTAATTCCATCCATCAGCTGCAATTAAACGTGTGACGTTTTATTTGCAACGTAAAGCCGTAAAGAGTCAATTCTGATCGAATGTAACTAACTTTTAAAAAGCGAAACGCAACTAGCGAAGAGCAATCACCAAGTCGTCACCGCCGGTACAGCCCTCTGTTTATGACCTTACGAACTTTTGCAAGCATGTAATGCATTATTATATTTTTTCTGCCGTAGGGCATCTGCCCAGGAAATCGATTGAGGCTCCTGGTTGGCCAATACGATACGGGGGGTTGTTTGGTCGGCAGCAGGGCCGACCTAACCATTTCAGAGGACGGTGTGCAGAGACACGGGAAGAGGCGTAGCTGGCATGTACAGCCTAATAGGGTGAGTTATTTGTAATGCGAGCCTATTCTTAAATAGCACGCGGAAGTTGGCTTCTCGTTACCGCGCGCTCACACCACGTTCCGTACCGCCCGGGTATGAATAACCTCCCTGCGACAACCGACAGTATTTACTCCGACTTGCTTCGCTTTATCCGATTATCCAGCCTGCGGACGAGAACTCGAGAGCGAGTTCGAGCGGGCGATTCGTGTTACGCCCGTAAATAGAGCCAAGTAGCCAAAAAAAAGAGAGATAAAAGAAGAGAGAAGTTTCCCCTCTCGGCTGACCGCACTCTCGAAATCTCTTCGAATTGTGCATCAAGTCTTACCCGCAAGGTAAAGGTAGCGACGGCCGAGGAGAGTCGATCAAGCTCGAGTGACTTTTCAATCATGCAGAGTGTATTCGTCCATTTTGTATCACCGAGCAAATATTTTCTTCCAAAATTGAAGAGTGAGTAAATTTGACTTAATGTACTCTGCTGTCAGTGGGGAGGGAAGGGGAGAGACAAACTTCACTCCGATTGAAATGTTCACTCTTACGATTTCGCGATCGCTTCAAGAGTATTTTCGCTCGTTTCGAGTGATCTGAGATGTCACGTAAAAAATATCTAGTACGTCCCTTAAATCGTCGGCTAAAATATCCAAACTACCATCAATCAAGAACCTACCCTCTGCACTTTAACATTATTTATTACCTGACGTATAAACATCAATAACAAATGGCTGTTGATTTTGGGTGACCATCGTCTTGGCCGAGAAAAATTGTTTTAAAAATCCTATGGGAGCAAAGAAATGCCCGCCCTCGTGTTGATCTTCCTTCTTTCATTTCAAGAAGTTTGCAGAATATATGATAGAGTTATTAAAGGGACAGCGCTAGAAGTGCTCAGTCAATTAAGGGTTTGTTTACGGACATTTAAATGCGGTTCCTTTGCGCCCACGTGGAGAAAATTCTATGGAGAAAAAAGGGCTTGAACGAACGCATGAATACGCCCTCACGACTATAATTCTTCAGCGTGCGGCGCATTTCAATAGCATTTTATTGGCCCGACTGCGACAGCTGGCTTCTCGAATTAATATATCCGCGATCTGAAAAGGCGCACCGCACAACGGCGACTCCACTCCCTATCGATCGATTGTGCAAACGCAATTGCAGCAGGGTTTCCCAAACGCCAGACACATCTCACCGGCCCCGAAAAGAAATGATGAAGTCTATTTCTGAACAAACTTGAATGTACAGATGAAACGTCACGAACGTCACGAACGTCGTGTTTCACTTATTAGCAACATACTTCTCTTAGGCGAGTTCATCACCGATGACGATCGAAATTGATTTCCTCGTGCTATTCATTGCGCTATTTAGTCAAACAATCGAGCTCATTCAGATTTTCTTGTTTCTTCTTAAGAATTTGATTTACCACCATGCATATCGATTTTTCGAGAAAACGAATGCCGACGCAGTTAATCGCAGCTTTACGCTATTAATCTCCAGAGACAAACTCGTGACGAATAAAGAAATGACTGCGTGTTAAGCGACTATCCTGCCGCTCAGCGTGCGAGCGGATAAAAATCGTTTGGCAGAGATTGGTTCTCTGGACTGGACTTCTAACTTATCCTCGGGAATCGCGATCGCGATCGGCTTCGCCAGCTGCGATTTGGGAAACCCTGTGTCACCCTGATGAATCACAATAGAGTGCAGACGGCGACCCGCCGCGCTCGTGGGGGCGATCTCTTGCGTCCGCCCGCCCGCCCGCCCGCTCGCTGTGAAACGGAATCTGTCAAAATCAGCTGACTGCCACTTGGCTCGTCCGGCTCTTCACCGCCGTCGCCGCCGCCGCCGCCACCGCCGCTGCGGCCGTCCCCTGTGTCTGTCCCCGGGTGCGCGCGGTTTAACATCTGTCGGCGACATCAATTTGCCGAAATGAATATGACAGCACGGTCGATCGCGATCTGTCCGCTGGACATCGTCGAAAGCGACGAGAAAGGATCTCCCCCCCGTGCACGTTCGCGCGATCGTTCCCTCCGAAATTCGCGATATAAATTCGAACAGCACCCCTCCCCCCTCCCCCTCCCGTTAGGGCGGCGAACGAAAAAACCGTTCGCCCTTGCACGTTCGGTAGCGATCGTATACCGTCGCATACCGTCACGTCGCGCATCGCGTCGCGCGGGCCGCATTTACGAGAAGTCGATCCTGCAGGATACCCTACAAGGAGCTGTCCTTCCTCGCGCGGAGGTCCACGCTTGCCCTTATATGTCCGCGGCTCCCACAACAATGTCCTCTCTCTGACGCCGGCTGTGCACCTCAGCCTCTCCTCTGCCCCTCCCGCCGCTCATCTCCGTGAGGGACGTGAATGCGTGTGGGAACAGCGCACACCCGCGCACACACAAAGTGGGATCCCCAGAGTCATCTCGATGGAATGTCCAGAGCGGTTAAGCTCAAAGAAGAGCGGGCGTGTTTCATCGTTCGCTTGTGTGTGTGTGTGTGTGTGTGTGTGTGTGCGTGCGTGCGTGCGTGTCCCGCCGGGTTCTCTTCCTCGGTGGCGTACTCTCGCACTCCTCTTCCTTCTTTCGCCGACTACTCCGGGCTCCCGAGAATAGCGCGCGTTTTTGCGGATAGACTGCCGAGACAGAGAGAGAGAGAGAGAGAGAGAGAGAGAGAGAGAGAGAGAGAGAGAGAGAGAGAGAGAGAGAGAGAGAGAGAGAGAGGCCGGCGCGTCTCGTCTCCTCCCTCGCTTCTCGGCGGCGGCGGCGGCGGCGGCGGCGGCGGCGGCGGCGGTATGAAATGCGGCGAAACGGCGGCGTGAAAAATCGCGAGGTATCTTCGTACGCGTGTGAGAAGAGGAGGCGCGCGACGGCGCATTTTCGCGACTCATAATATCGCCGGCGCGTCGATACGCCGGCGAGCGTCCTGAGCGAAGACGCGTCCTGAGGAGTCACGAGAGCGCACGCCGTACGATCGCGAAAGACGCGGGCGAAAGGGAGGGGCTTCATGCACCGCTGATGTTAACTAGAATAACCAGATCGTGGCGCGCGTTCGCCTCGGCGGACCCGCGACATGAGCAGTAACGTATGTCGAGACCGCATACTCGATATGCTCGGAAACGCGACAAGTGCGCTTCGCGCGATCGCGTTTCCGCAGGCGGCGGCGGAATGTGGGCTATCCATTTCTCTCTATCTAATGTTACGAAATTAATAGCTGAAGCCAAGTTCCTAAACAAAAATGGCACATGACTGTGAACGTCCAAGCGAGTGATTAGCTGTTCACTTACGGGACGTATTTCAGTTAGTTTAAGAGAGTCTCGTGAGCAATTTCGCAAGAGGCTTTTATTTAGCGCGTCGTTTCAGTGACAGAATTCACGGCGAATTCAGCTGGCAATCGCCGGCAATGCCTGCAGCATGCCGGATTTTTCTGGAGGTCATTTTGTATCGTTTGATCGTCACGAGAAATAATCAACAGCGAATTTGCAATTTTACTTTTATCATTTATTCGTTCCTATTATCGGTCGTTTATTCGTTCTCGCTCATCACGGGCATCCTGGAAAATTATTTTTCCAGGAATATTTTTCAATTATTTCCTTGCGTTACTTTCATTGTTTTCATCAATCGCGCTTCTCTCCGATTTCCCGGCGCTTTTAATCGAGCTCTTGATCCCGCACGAGGATTTTAATTACGCGTCAACGATTACGATTCTCCGGATCTCTCGCGTCGTCTGCTCGCTCGAATATCGAGAGGCTTGTGCGCAAGCAGCGAGGATTTTTATCCTCCCGACGACGGTTTGCAAAAGTCAGTTGCATTTCAGCAGAAGCTGAAAGAAGAACGCGGATCATTTCCGCGGGAGGAGATGCGGTGTGTGTTTGTCCTCCGGCAAGCGCAATATCCTGCCGAAGCCTCGAAGGCTTCGGCAGGCGCGAGCGCGAGGAACAAAACAACAAACGATTTTTCGCCCAGGGCGCAAGCGCTCCTTGAGACTGCCACCGATGACGGCGAGTAGGCAAACTGCACCGCCTGCCGCCCAGCACCGGCTGAAAATGGCATGGAAAAAGGAGAAAGAGGTGGCTCGAGAGCGGAGAGAGATCGAGGAAGACAGACTCGGCCGAGACGAGGACGGGACTTGTCTGCTGGACGTGGGCTGTGGCGGCTTGTCTTTAACGGCCGGTATCAACGAACTGTAAAACTCGCGCGTGCGTGGGATTGTCTGCTCGTGCTCGGTGCTAACGAACGCTCGCGTTCGCGAACAGAGAGACTGCAGCCACGCCGGTGCCGGTGCCGGTGCCGGTGCCGAGCCGAGCCGAGCCGGTGTGTCGGCTTGGAAAAACGCCATTTTTCCCTTGCCGACGGCGAATCGAATTCGCCCGGAGATTCGAACATTTCGTTTCTCCGCGCAGCGAACGGCCCACGACCTTCTGCAAATTCGCAAAAGGAAGACGAAACGAGAGAGAGAGAGAGAGAGAGAGAGAGAGAGAGAGGGGGGGAGGAGGAAAGACAGAAAGCAATCCCATCTCGCGACATACAGCCGCCTGCGCGCCGCGGGCCAACGAACGTAAATCATCGCTTTTGCGAGCGACTGGCGAAGCGAAGGAGCCGGCCCCGCCAAACTCGACTCGCCAGGACTCGGATGCCCGTCAAGAGTCACAACCGGTAGCAGCTAGCTGACTGCTGCTTCTTCGTCGAGAGATCATCACGGCCGTTTATTAAAGAGACAATAAGCGATGTTATCCAGCGCAATAAACTGGCGCGCGCACGTCATCGTCCGATTAAAGGATCCTATTATCGTGTGCGATATCTCTCTCTCTCTCTCTCTCTCTCTCCCCCTCCCGTTCAGCGACATCGGTCCTCGCCGATCAACTGAGTTATTGATATTTCTATTACTGCCTCGCTGGCCGGAACTGGCGAGCCACATCGTTATTACAAACAGCGATATCAATCGGCGCGCGTGTCAAGCTCTCGAGACGCGACTAATTGTTGCGTCTTATCTTCTCTCGCTCATTTGTTTGTTTTGCAGCAGAGGCGCGAGTGCGGCGATTTACAGTCATGCTTGTTTGCACATAAAGTACCTCGCTTCCTCAGCCGCTGCGTTTTATATATATCTCTCTCTCTCTCTCTCTCTCTCTCTCTCTCTCTCTCTCTCTCTCTCTCTTGCGTCGCGTTGCGTTTCCGCGCGGAAAAGGCGCGTCCCGGGTCTCGCAAGTTGCACGGTACATGTATTTTATTTATAAACGGCGGGGATTCAACGCGGTTCAACAGCTTCGCCGGCGCTTCACACGGCCAGGAAATGTGCGCGATCTACGCGGGTCCGGTTGTGTCGCACGCGAGCTTGTTATAGCCGGCGTAAATGCAATTGTTGCCGAAAAACAGCGCGTGGCGGATTTGTGCGGGCTTTTCGCATACGGGCGAACGGAAAAACAGTCCGGACGATGATTTCCTCTCTCGTGTATGCGCGCGCAGGGTTTGAAGAAAAAAAAAAAAACGCTTGAATTGACGCGCGGCAAGAAACGAACCGAGTGTGTCTCGGCCGGAAGGAAGGGAAATTCTGCTTCTTACGAGCCAAATTCGAGTCTGAAAAGCCGGAGAAATTCTGTTTCTCCGTTGTGCAAAGCGCGCGTTCGGTTCGTTTAATGTCACATTAAATCAAGCGGTCTTTTGCCTTCGTCTGTGAATCCTCGATACGCTCGCCACGCTACAGGGCAGACCTGATGAATTCTTCTCAGCAACGAAGCGCACGGCTACATTGTCACGTTGTTGCTGAAATAAACAAGGAAAAGCTCCCTCGTCATCGTACCGGAAAATTCTTATCACTGCCTGAGACAGGCCGAAAGTCCTAGTTCCGTAGATGGTGGGAAGCCTCCTTCCGCGTTTCCATAGAAACCGTCTTTCTATCTCCCCCTAGCCTCTCTCACTCGCTCGCTCTCACTCTCTCTCTCTCTCTCTCTCTCTCTCTCTCTCTCTCTCTCTCTCTCTCTCTCTCTCTCTCTCTCTCTCTCTCTCTCTCTTTCCTTTCCCTTTTATTTCTCCCTTCCTCCCATTCTCTTCTCACCCCTATCAGGGCCGGATAAAGTCACTGTCCATCTTTGCTCGGGCTGTTTTCCCCACAACCGCGGCGAACGATTTAGTCGGGAGTTTGTCGATTTCCCAATTTTCGCAGATCAGCAAATTTATAATTATCGGACGAGCAGGCGACTCGCTTTCCCGAGCGTTCGTCTCCGCGGCAACGGCATAAAAATTTGCCGTTGAAAACGCAAAGGCAGAATCGCAGCCCTCGACGAAGGCTCTGCGAGGACTCTTTCTCTCTCTCTCTCTCTCTCTCTCTCTCTCTCTCTGGTTTAGGGTCCTCCGAGTCCTAAATCCGCCACTGTTCCGCTCTCTTCTCTTCTCGCGCTTTCTCCCGTACGTTCGTCGTGGCGTAATATGCCTTTCACAGTTAGTGCCACGACGCCGGTATCGACCGACGTGTTATACCCCTCTGACCGTACTCCATTCCCTTCTCTTCGGTTCCAGCGGAGACCTCTCGAGCGCGCGCTCCAACCTTCCAGCACCCCTCCTTCCGCGGCGCTCTCGCACCCCCGCACCCCGTACTCCACTACTACGCTGCCTGCGATAGTACTATTCGATTCATAATAACAAAGGACACTCGCGTGCAGCTTTAATTCACGTGGTGGAGCGCACTCGACGCCGCGCTTCTTCGATGACGAGGACGACGCTTCAGTCGTCCGATGCTACCTTCACACGATGACGTTTCTGATCGCTCAATGACGTCTCATCGATTTATTGTCAATTGTTTATTCATACATGATGACGTATACACACACACACACACACGCGCGCGCGATTTTTCCTCCGTGCTGATTGAAATTTCGAGTCGTACGTTCGAATCGCCGCGCGAATCTCTCGCGAGCATGATGCTCTTGCGACGAGGTCAAAATAATTTGTCGAGGGTAGTTTCGAAGACGTTAGGGATGGGTGGACCTTGTCCGTTTGCCAACTACCAACTACAGCTGACCCAGATTCCGCCGAATCCTCGGCGATCCTTCTCCGGACAGGGCAGCGTTCAGGCTGCTGCCTCATGCGAACAACGCGACTCTTCCTCCCTGTCGGCCTTCGGAATGCGCGATAAGACCAGCCGATCGAAAACTCTTAGCCGTGAGTAAAAGCCTCGGTTGTTCCACTTCGGCAACGAGACCACCGACCATCGACGGGAAATTGCAGATTGCCGAGGGCCGGCGAGCGAGCTTTTACCACGATATCTCGTGGTCGAGGCTGCTCCGTTTTATGAGCTGGGCGTGTCCGGCGTTTCCTCTAACGGCGCGCGATGCAGCTCTAATTTTCCCAGCATTTTTGCCGCCGCTGCGCGCGCGCGCGCGCGCGCACGCTCGCCGTAAATTTGATTTCACAGTGATACGACGCGGTTTATTTTCCAAAATGTGCACTTTCATGCCGAGCAAAATAATCGCGGCAGTTGTCTGTCAGAGAATATCTACTACACGTTAGCTATGCCGGGCTATAATAATGTGACGTGTATTTATTATACGTTACATACAATTATATACGCGCGACACAAGAATTTTTAAATCTTCATTTTCATATGTTTCAACCCCCTCTGAAATGAAGTCAACCTCGACATTTGTTGCCAAGGTCACCATTCTGAATAACATTCAAAAAGTTTCAGCTGTTGTTCATCATGTTCTCCAAACTTCCTTTGTTGTTATTCAGAGAATGAGAGCCTTGACAACACATATTACAATTAATATTATCGAGAATTTGAAACATTAATATGAAGGTTTACCTAACGATATGTGTGATGAATATTATACAATAATAATACTAAAATTTATTAAGTAACACATAATATCAAATATTATATAATAATAAAAATATACACTACAGCATAATATTCATAAAAACCTTTATCCAAGAATACGCGCTAATTGACGTTCCCCTTTCTTACACGCTCAAGAGAGAGAGAGTGAGAGAGAGAGAGAGAGAGAGCCGCTGTTACAAATTTCCAACACGAGAGAGAAAATTTGCAACTCCTATCCATCCTCCGTGTATGGCAAGAGCGTCTATATGGAAGCTGAAGAGAGAGAGAGAGAGAGAGAGAGAGAGAGAGAGAGAGAGAGAGAGAGAGAGAGAGAGAGAGAGAGAGAGAGAGAGAGACGAAGAAAAATGCTGCGGTGCGCTCGGAGCGTAGCGCGCAAGGGTTGCAGAAGAGTTTCTATTATTGCAAAGCAGCGGGAGGGCCGATGAGCTCCCGAGATTACGCTCTCTTGGGGGATGTTCCATCCCTCTTTCCTCCCCCGTATTTATTCGTTTCACGGGCGCTTCGTATCGGCGTCTCCACTCGGCGTTTTATCAGCGAAATTACATTTTCCCGGAACGATGGTTCAACGGCCGAAATGTGCAAGCTCGCAGCGCCGCACCGCCGCACCGCCCGGCTCTGTTAAATCCGGCCGGCGATTACGCGTCTAATTTTACGATACGGGAACGCGGAAAATATATGCAAGCGGCAACGCACGCCCACCCCGTGCGTCTATCTCTCGCGGAACACGTTAGGAAAATGTTTTTCACGCTGCGTTCGCCCCAATCGTCGGAGCGCCCCGCGGTGCCCTCCGACGATTTCATTTCGCCGATGGACGACAAAAGAGAACATCGAAATTGTTCTTTTGACAGGGATTTCTTTCTTTCTCTCCCTCTCTCTCTCTCTCTCTCTCTCTCTCTCTCTCTCTCTCTCTCTCTCTCTCTCTCTCTCCTCCTTTCATTCAGGAGGAAACTCAATTAGCAATCTCGTAAAATTAATCCCCGACTGCAGTAACCATGCTCGAACGAAGTCCTCAAGAGATTACTTGGCGCACGGTGAAAAAAGTAACAGCTGATTGGCTGGTTCGCGTAGATAACTTCGTTACCGAGTTTCATCGTGGTTTACGTGGACAATGTTTGCTCTTATCCAGATCTATAATTATACAGATAAAAAGCATCCACGCAGATAAAGTCCTGGCACCAATTCATTTTTATCTAGATAATATAAATCTACATCGTGAAAGTGAAATTGCGTGATAAAAGTATTATGTTTAGACACAAAACTTATCCAAGATGACGCTTACGTCGAACTCGGTCGACATCGCCGCAAATACGTAAAATACTCAAGTATTCGTTTTTACCTCGCGAGAACGTTTGAGTTACGATACGAAACGTACGAGGCGACACGAGGCGACTGAGATTGCACTGGGATTCACTTGCGTATTTGGAACAAATGGACAAAAGAGGAATTTGCATACTTCATCTCTCATCTTCATCCAGCTAGTTTTTAAATCATCTAAGCACAATATTTCGCGTGGATTTAGCGGCGACGCGCGGTCGCGCCATATAGTGGAGTCGCGCACACACGCGCTTTCACAGACGGAATTTAGAGAAGAACACGTGATTTTCCAGCCAAAGCGAATAAACCGTTAACAATGTAACGGAGTTACATTGTTAACGGTTTATTATCTCGCGTCTCGCACAGCGAGCGCCGCGTTGCTGCATGGTTAACGGCAGCTGCGAGCCGCATCGCGACTGGCGACAGTACGACGTAACTGCGCGGCGGCGTAGAACGCGCGCGATAATTAGTCGGGGGGATATGATTAATCGTTCGGTCCGCTCGATGATGCAGGTTGTGACACCGCAGAAGTGCGGAGATGTCTACCTCTACGACCTCCCAGCGAGCCGGGGCAGTCCTGCGCCGCCATCCAGACACGATTCACCCCTCAACTCGAACAATGAGCACTCGCACAATACGGGTACGTATTATTCGCGAGCTACAGTCCGTCTGCGCGGCGGCATGGCTCGTCGCGATAAAGCAACCGTCTGCGGGAAAGTTTATTCATTAATTGAGATATCGATTAACGCTTGGCGTCTCTCTCTCTCTCTCTCTCTCTCTCTCTCTCTCTCTCTCTCTCTCTCTCTCCCCCCCTCCCTCCCTCCCTCTCTCTTTATCCGTCTGAACACGAGAGCGAGGCGCCGAGAGCCGCGGTTCTCCTCACACACGGCTAGTTTCATAAACAGGAGGATTCCTTTAGATTAAAAGTTCGCGGAGATGAAAGTTCGCAATCCCCGGAATAAATTCGTCCGGTGGTGCTCTGGAATCCCCGGAGCCGTCCGTTTCAAGCTCGTCGCGCGTTACCTTGATCCACGTCCGCAGGACGATACACCGGCGGCGCGCGTACGACGACCGCCCCGAACGCGAACGACAACGCGAACGGCGGGGGTGGCGATACAAACGAGTGCTACGACGTGCCGCCCCGTGCGATCCCGGTGATCCCGTCGCCGGCGAGCAGCCCGAGTCCGGCCCCGTCGTGCTACGACACCCCGCGGCCGCCGACATCCTGCACGCCTAACTCGAATTGCTCCACCGGCTCCGGCATTACGCCCCTGGATTGCTACGACGTGCCGCGACCTTTGCAACCCCTCACGCCCAGCAGCTCGGCTTCCAGCCTCACCAACGACGGCTCCCTCAGCGGTTCGAACAGGTATCGCCTTTGCATTTCCGCGATGCGGTCGCATTATTCCACGACGGATTCCATGTGTGTCGTATGACGAGAGAGACTACTCCCTCTCCGCTCTCACTACCCTCTCGCTCGCACTATCTATCTATCTATCTATCTATCTATCTACTACTATATATTCGCTGCCTTTGGCTCTGATGGATTTCCTATAGTGCTAGCTCTTGGCTAGGACTGATTATTCGAGAGTCTCCAGCTTGAAAAGTCTCCAAGTCTTACACACAAAATCATGAATCACAGATTGAATAAAGTTTCTTGTAAAGAATCTTGTAAAGTCGTAATAAATCGTACTTGTTTAAATGATAGAGCGGAAAAGTAGAACGCGAAAAGTTTGAAATTTTTCCAGCTTCTGGTAACTTGTACCGAAAGTCTTGCTTCTACTTTTGGATCCTTTGCAATATCCAGAAAGGTGTCGCAGCGACGTCGTCGCTGAAAAATTTTTCACGAAACTCGGAAAATCACGTCACGACTTAGGATACGCTTTTACGTATCCTAAATCAGTTTTAAAAATACTGAAACCTGAAAGAGAGCGTTGTTACATCATTCTTCCAGTTTCAACGCAAAAATTCAATGTACACACGTTCGGCATCATTTACGAATAATAAAAAATCCCGAAAGGCATCGTCGCGTTGTTTTTTCAGTTTGAACCAAATTTTGGATTGGAGCGCGCGATGAGAGATGAACGAGGTGAAAATTCCCTCGTGTATATTCGCGGCCATTTATTAACACAATAAATCGGCCAACAAACCAATTATCGCTCTCAATATTTGTTCTCACTTTTCCGCGTGTTCTCTAAATTCCAGATCAAGTTTGGCCGCTCCCGATTACGATGTGCCCCGACCACGTCTTCCAGCCTCCTCATTACCGTCCCGGCACAACACTCCCATACCGAAGACCCCGACACCACCGCCGCCCACGCAACAAATCTACGACGTGCCGGTGAACAAGGAGCTCCCATTAGAGCTGGACTCCGCCTTGGAAGGCTTGCAGAGGTTGCAGAGCGAAGCGTCCGCCGCGATAGCGAGGCTACTGGGTTTCGTGAGCCCCGGCTGGAGAACGCCGCAACGATTAGACGCCACTCTTATGGACCTCAGGCTGGCTGCTCTTAGGCTAAGAACATCTTTGCATGATCTTGCCGAATTCGCGGAAGGTGACTATATGCGCGCGCGCGCGCGCGCACCGGTTCCGTTTACTACCGTCTTCTCCAAAACGGCCGATAAGGAGGATATCCCACGATGTCATTCATTCCAATAGAACACAGATAAAAGAAGTCTGGTGCCATTTTTTCTTCCGACAAGTAGTTACCGAGTTGGCGTGAACCAAATGTTGAAAATGTTTTATCAAGTTTTCCTTAAATATCTCAAAAAATATTAGACAAGTAGGAAAATGTTTCAGAAAAAAAAAATTGTTCAAATTAATAGGTGGGAAAAGATGATATGACAAAGAAAGGGGGGGAGGGGGTTTCCATTAAAAAATTCAAGACGATCTTCCTGTAACCTCGATGACGCTATTCATCAAGGTCATACTATAAGTACTGCTATGTGGTACGTCAACCCTACAACTTGAACGTTGAAACCCTACTACCCAACTTCTGTATTTAACATTTTTTTCTACCTTGCATATTTTCAAAGTTATTCAGGTGGCCTGTATACCACTGTATACCACTAATTACTTAATTTCATATATTTAGTTCATGAATTTCACACGCGTTCCCCGTTGGTATTTTTTCGCAGACCTACGTCGTTGTAAAGTGTTTCGAAAGTGTTACGTTTCTCGTACGCACAGGTACGCTGGGCAACGCGGGCAAAGCCCCCGATAAGGGTTTGGCGACGAAATTACGGCCGCTGGTAAAGGCGCTTCGTGATTCCGACAAGCTCGTGCAGGAAGCTGCCACCGAATTGGACACGATAGAATGGGACGCGAGTAAGCTATGTCGTGGCGGTGGTGATACACCGACACCTACTAATGGACCTCCGCCCTCGTTATTACCACCTGTACAACCGGATCCCCTCGATCAGCTGATCGCGTGCGCTCGGGCACTCACGGAAGACGTCCGTCAGGTTGCCAGTTTCATTCAAGTGAGTATCTTTCGTAACATCGGGTAATGAATTATACCCGTTTTTAATGGCTCCTAATCCCCCCGAATCGTCGCTGAAATCATTCTTTCATCGAGTCGTCCAAATGAAAGTCAGTAGGATTAGTTGTGCGAGTGATCACACACAGTGATCACACAGTGGAGATTCTCCTTTGTGTATATGATGAACGTATGAACGTGTGTTTGTATGTGCGCGTGTATATGCGTACAGGGAAATTCCACGTTGCTCTTCAAACGAGCGTCCATCATCTCCACGGGCAGCAGCAACAACAGCGGCGGCGCCGGCGAGGATTACGATTACGTGAACCTCGACTCACGGGAGGTCGTGGCGAAGCAACGGGAGGAGCTGAGAGCCTCGTTGCCGCAGGAGCTGCGCAACAACTACGATCTGCTGGTGTCCGAGGCGGACAATGCGACGATTCAGATGGCACCCACGACACCGACGCCCATGGATCCCAACGATAAGCAGCTGTTAGCCTTCTACGCCGCTCAGGTGATCACGCACGGCGCTCATCTGACTCACGCGATCGACGCCTTGCTGCAAACGGTCGAGCACAACCAACCACCCAAGGCGAGTGTACGGAGTGGACAGAGCTGGAAAGAGAAAAAAAATGGTCGCCGGACTATTACCGAGCTCCGATTCCAATATCAGAGTACGATCGTCACGTAACGCGCGGTGGCTTTTGTCTTGCAGGTTTTCCTGGCGCACGGCAAGTTCGTGGTGCTGAGCGCTCATCGGCTCGTGCACATCGGCGACACGGTGCACCGGAACGTGACGCGCAACGACGTGCGGACGCGCGTGCTGCAGTGCGCGAACGCCCTGAACGAGGCGCTCGCGCAGACCGTGTCGAAGACGAAGCAGGCCGCGCAGTTCTTCCCGAGCGTCAGCGCGGTCCAGGACATGGTCGACAGCGTGGTCGACGTGTCGCACTTGGCCAAGGATCTCAAGGTCGCCATGATACACGCTGCCCAGCAGCCATGAAGAGAGACCCCGGCGTTTATTGTCGCGACGACGATGACGACGATTAGGCCGCGAAAGCACAAGTTCCTTCAATTCAAATGCGATCCTCACGATCGAGAGCTCCTTTCTCGCTAAGCATGAAACCGCGCGGAGACTGACGGAGGGGAGGGGGGGGGATCGAGACGCGCGGAGGAGGCTGCGCGTTTTTCGCTAGGCGCTCCAGTGCTGCGATTCTGTAACTCGTTATTGGAGTTAACGACAGTTTCGTTATTGTTGCGCAGCTTTTCTACGGTATACGAAAGCTGCGCAACGATAACGAAAGTGTCGTTAACTCCAATAACGAGTTACAGAATCGCACCACAGCGCGCAATCAGCTTGAACGCTGAGAGCAGAGCGAGTCGCTGATCCGACAAAGTCGAAGACGAACGCGCGCGCGCGCGCGTGCCCACGAAGTCTCGATCTCCGCCTCTCCGAACTCTCGAAGAGCGAGCGTTGTCGCTGCTGAGAATTTCCCGGGTACGTTCGTGGAGGGAGGAAGCACGAACGCACCGCGGGCCGCCGCTCCGTGTTACGTCAAGGTGAATAATCAGTGTCTCAGGAAATTTCTGCGGATTGTCCGTTGCGAAGCATCGTCTTGCGAGATCACGAGACACACGTGGCAGCTCCTGTTATTAGACTTCAAGACTCTCAGCCCGCGCGTATGGGCGTATGAGCTAAACAACAGTAGAGTACTGAAAGCGCCTTTCTCCCTCTCTTGAAAAGGCACAAAGTAAGCAAAGTAGCGCAAGGTAGTGATTTCGTTTGGAATCGCGGTGATAGTATTTTCAATTCCAAACGGCGAAATAATCAAACATAATCCACGCATACGCGCGCGTTTCAGCCGACACAGAGAGAACAAACGCGCTGCGCGCTACTCACGCGCACACGCCGATGTGTGCGCGCGCGCGCGCGTGCGCGCGCCGTGCAGCTATTAATCCTTCGCATTAATCTAAGATCTAAAGAGAGAATCCGTGGCCTAGGAACCTGCTACTGCCAAAGCTCCGGTATATAGATTAGGTAATAAGGGAGCAAAGGGGAAAGCCCTCCCTCCCCACTGCCCCGCAATCTCTCTTCAAAAGACGAGTGTCTTTAATTATTGCGTACTCGTGCAAAGTATAAGCATCATAATCCTTCGTAGAGAAACCGATACACATAGCCGTGTATCGCTCGCTAAGGTAAATACGCGCGGAATAAACGCGACGAGACGAGTAATCGCGAGTGATCAAGCTTTCCGGCACGTATGCGCGTATGATGAGGAAGCACTCTTCGGAACGGCTCCCGCGTCGCTCTGCGACGCGATCGAGTATCGTCATGTGTATGTGTGTGTGTGTGTGTGTGTGTGTGTGTGTACCACATATACACGTGCGCGCGTACACACACACACACACACACACAACACACACATGTTGTGCGTTTCTCGCAAAACTGATTTGGAAATGTATACACCAGCGATGCGTAGTGTACGCGAATTGACAGTATGTTGGTAGTTTTATAAATGTATGTGTACAGTAGTATACACACATACACATACACATACACATACGCGCGATAACTAGACAAGACCTATATTCGTGTCTCTCTTTTAGAGCCATTTTCAGCGACTGCTGACTCTAATCTTGTCTCTAACAACTGTCCGAAGAAGAACCGCTTACTTTTTACACTCGAAGAAGGCAGCGTGACGAAGAGCGATATTGATCGACGTTATTCGACGACGAATTGTGCACCGTCAGCCGTGTTTCTATCTCCGGGGTTTGCGAGAGCGCACGTTGAAGCTCAGAAGAGAAAACTTGTGACATCGACGAGCGCAAGTCCGAATGCGCAAGGTCTCGCTATTTTGCTGCAGGTTGCTCTCAGGATCATCCGGGATGACACAAGAGGCTTGCAAAATGAGAACCGGGTGGAGACGGATTGCTACTTGTTACGCACAGTTTTTTTGGAGAACGATTTTAAAGGAATTTTATACGAAGCATTTTTACCGCCGGGTCACGATTTTTTCGAGCGCCCAGGCCTTTTTACGGCTCTTCCATAACAGCGAATTGATCACACACGAGCGCACAACTGTGAGCCGCGGCTAGCGGCGGATTGAACTTTTTACAACCCGTTGTCGTGAAATTTTTATCCCGACACTCGCAAAATTCGCTCCCTCGAACGACAGTTCCCACACTACCCTCGCACAAAGGAGGGAGGGTACATCCAAAAGTTTGCTGGAAAATCGTTTCTACATGTTTTTTTTTATATCGTTCGGATGAAACATGTTTGAAAAGAAAAAATAATACGAGATAAAACGACATAATAAAATAGAGGCTCTGGATTTAATCCACCAAGAAAAAGGGCCAATGAGATTTTTGTGCGCATATTTTTTTTAATGCGCAATCGAAATTTTTAACAAATATTATTGCAATGGGCTCTCACTTTTACTTTGTCTGCTAAACTTTTTAATTAGCTCTGCTGATCATTGAAACTGTTTCCTTTCCGTGTTTGTATATTTATTTATTTTATAATTTTTACTTTATTTGTTTGATATATTTATCTGTATCTATGTGAGAAATCTATGTAAAAATATGTCTAACGTGGGCGTTATTTCTGCGTTGAGATTCCGCGAGAGATCCTCGATCATTCTCTCGAATGCTATATAGACTAGTGGCTGTCGGGAGAGACGGGAGAGACGGGAGAGACGCGTACGATCCGACCGCTGGCTCGCGGCGCACACTCGTTCCAATGGCATTCTCCATACGCGCGAAAGTGTACTTAAAAATGACTCGCCAGCTACAGAACTCGGCTCGTAGGTCGCGCGTGAAATTACGCGGACGCGAGCAGCGTTTACAGCACACGTCGTTGTCAGCCGTGCGTTGAGACACAACCGGCCGTTTCGTTGCAGCTTTACAAACGCGCTCGCGAGCGCTCGTTAAGATTTCCGTGAGACGCGATCTCTCGACATTTTCTTCTTTACTTAAGGGCTTTCACACATACACACACACACATACACACATACACAAACACAAGCGCATCGCCGTGTCCTCGCGAGCCTCACGATACGGCGACTGCGTTTGACTTGCGATATTTGTGTGTCTCACGGATAGTTTACATTTATTTTTTAGAGATTATACACCCGTGCATATCTCTGTCGTACATAGTGAAGCGTTTATACACGAAGCCTCGTTTATGAGACCTGTATTATAATTTATTAGCGACGCGTTTTTGTAATATATTGCACGTATGGCAGGCAGTTACTGTGTACGTAGAGTTACTGTATACTTAGAAGAAGAAGAAGAAGAAGAAGAAGATGGAAAACAAAAATTTATACATAGTCGAACTGATAGGTGCTTATCTGCGCGTTGAACCCACGTACTCAGATGTGTCATGTGTCGTAGGCGTTCAGGTGGACTAGTTTCTTCGCATTTTGTAACGCAGGCTGTTAGGTGTGTTTGACTGACACCAAAACCGTGTCGAAGGAAGGCAAAACACCAATTTGTCGTTGTCCTGATTTCTCTGTCGCGTACACTGTCGCTTCTAAAACGGTTCGAACATTTCTTCTTGATGCAGCTTGAAGCCTAATCGATGGCTGATGACGAAAGAACTTTCTTTTTTTTTTTTCTCTTTATTTCCAGAAGAGTTGAGTCTTCTCTCATCGGTTGTGGTTACAAACAGCATCGGCGGAAAGTGTCCAAGCCGCGTTGGGACCACCATGGTGTACACGAGAGATTCGTGAGAATCCTTTGGCGTAATCGCGCATCGCTCTGTGAAGTCTCCGCGGCGTGATGGCGCGGCGAACGTAGCCGCGCAAAATTGCCCCGAGACTTCATGAGAGCGCCAACGAATCACTCTTACCTTCTCCCCCCTCGTCTCCGTAACATAACGGATGTACGCGTAACTATATTTCGTATTATTATGATAATTATACAACTTACGAACTGCATATATTATATGTCGAGAGTAGTTATTCTAAAGTTACAACTAGAGGAAGAACTCTCGAGATGTAAGACACACACACACACACACACACACGTGATATCCTCGGAGGAACTCTATCACACATCGAATCGTTTTCTCATGACGCTTGAAACCCATTTTCGGTATATGGCGCGAGAGCGCCACTCTCTTTGTTTTGTCACTTGGAGAAATCCTGCCGTTGCATCGAACAATAACACGCTCGGTCTCGCTCGGTCGAGACGCGCCACAAGCTGAATTGATTGTGTTACCTTTTAAGAACACCTTATTTGTACATAGATATATTTATACATATATTATATATACATATACATAATAATAATTCGTATCACAAAACCAGAATATGTACACTTGAGCGTATTGGTATATCCGACGATACAATAGTGAAGTAAACTTGTTTGAATATCGTGCAATGTCAAAAATAATTTTTAAGCCAAAATATATCTAAACGGAAAAAGGCGTTCAAAGGGAATATCTAGGCGAGACTAATATTCATCTCAGACTCGATCTTTAAATGTAAGTAAAGAAGTTGTATGAAATTGAACTCATTTTCAGTGCTTTGCAAACAGAAATAGGTTAAAGATTCTTCTATTCTCTGCCATGTACTTCAGGACACACATCCGAACGACGAGAGGATGATCCTGCAGGATTAATTTTGCACATTGACACGTTATCTGTACACTTATAGATTTCGATCGTTTCAATAAAGATACATGGAAGAGAGAATCGAGAGACGAGATAGACAAGATGACAGCCTTTTTTAGGAACCTTTTCTCTCATTTAAATAAAATTTGCCAGTTTGTGAATCATCACGGTGTGTGGTGTCAGGATGAGAAGCTTTCAGTAATAACTCTTGTACAAATATAAACCAAACTGTACCTTTACTTCATCACATAGATCTTAACAACAAGGTAATCTCCACGTATACCCGTTCACATATACATTTTTACACGTACTAGGTAGAATTTTGATAAGCAGCAACTCTTTGTCCCCTACAAAGACAACTCAAAGAATCCTCTGCTCACTTCGCACTCCATGATCCATCTGGAAGATACCCTCCCAGGTTCCTGCGTGAGAAAACGCACGGCAAAGGTGCACATACTGGACTTGATGCGGCAGGCGACAGCAGCAGATAGTGAATGGACTAAGAATGGTCGCCGCAGCATCTGCCCAAATGCGTATGAACGTTGCCCTCCTTGTGGGCTCTGTCTCGAAGAGCCTTCTCATGGTGGAAGCTGGTGAGGTCACGCTTCATGGCGTACGCGTCTTCGCCGTCCGCATAGTACTTGGGCTCTACCTCGGATACTTCAAACTGCAGGCTGCTCGTGTAAAGGTTGAGTGCGGCGCGATTACTCCTGCGTACGTGCAACGACACGTATTTCGCTCCGAAGCACTCCACCATGGCTCTGGACGCCTGGTTCATCAGCTTCTGTGCGATACCCAGTCGCCTGTGAGAGCGTTTCACAGCCAAGCTAGTGATGTGACCGTGTGGATTGTCCTCGCAATCCTCTTCCATTTTGGCAAGCACATATCCCACTATCCTTCCTTTCTCATCCTCCGCCACATAGCTCAGCTGTGGCCAGGACAGGGCATGATACAAATAATACTTCATCTGGTAATTCTCAGGTAGACATTGCAGGTTACAATGTTGTATATTCAGCAAGTCGTCGGTGGTTGCGCAACGTATATTCACCGACATTCTAGTGAGACGTTCTTCTTGTTAGAGGATGATGCCCAAGTTATAGCGCAACTTTTATGACATAAACGTCGTTATTTGGTACGGGCTCAATCTATCTGTTTGTCGTCCGAGATTTATTCACGACGAATTTTCTTGATGCGCGAACGACCGTTCTTTAAATCCGTAACAGACGACGACTCGCTCATTCCACCGAGTAACTCCCTGACGAAGCGGAATCGTGAGAGGAAGAACTTCCAGACTAGGTACCAACCTGAAACGAAAGGGCAGGAATATAAAATTGTCATCGAGATTTCAGCATGTATACATGCTTCTCCCAACGCTAGACCCAACGTCTGAATACAGCTGAGAGATATCGACGCGTACGCACCGATATGTAAGTAAATGTACCCATGTATAAACGGACGGAGGAACCGTCTCATCAAATTCTGATGCGTTTCCTCCGTCCGTTAATGAAATCATGTCATCTACGTAATCTACATTGTATTATGAAGTACAGAGATATACACATCTAGTTGGTGCGCGCGCGCGCGCGTGCGCACACGCATGTGTGTCGTGCTCACCCAACAAAACAAGACTGAACACTATCAGTAGACTGGACACCACGGAAAATGCTGCCAAGAAAATTTCCCGCATTATCGCATCAGTGATCGACCGGGAAACGAGAGGAACACGAAAGACGCGTCTACACTACGCGTCTACGTCGCTGTACGCGTGAACATTGGCATGGAACCGCCTCCACCACCACCACCACCATCTCCTCCTCCTTCTCCCCCCCAAACCGCACCGCGATTATCTCGCCGCGCGAAAACGATAACTCGCGTGCGCCAGACCTACACCGGAACTAAGGAGGGATTTTTCATGACGACGACGATCGCCAACACACCACTACCACGTTACAATGATCATCCGCACCTTCCCACGCCATTTTGAAAGAACGGAGAACTAGGAACGTAGAGGTTATAAACACTCGCGACATCCGCAGCTGATATCCGCGCGGTCACCACGTGGAGGCACGTCTCTTTACGATGTCGTCGTTTACAAACTTACCGGGATGCAACGATGAGTGCAAGTGTATCCTGCTGGCTGACGTCGCTTCTACGGGACTTTGGATTTCTTTCGCCGGGCTCGTGTGTTTGAATAGCGTCCGACCTGACGGCGAGGGACGGTGCTGCGAACCGGAAGCTGACTTAACCTAAACGCAGAGCACGCTTCTCAGGCCGCATCCGCAGCCTTGGAATGCGCGGGTTATTTGAAATTTCAGACTCGACGGCAGTCGGATTGAGCTTTGGGGAGCACCGACGAAGCATACACTGATTATGGGACATTGTGCGTATATGTGTGTGTGTGTGTGTGTGTGTGTGTGTGTGTGTGTGTGTGTGTGTGTGTGTGTGTGTGTGTGTGTGAGGTAGCTAACAGTAACTATGTTTCGCCCGAATGATGTATGTAATCTTGTCTATTTTTAAATGCACCACGCGCATCGCAATAGTTGATGTTTAGTCGATAATCGACCTCGAGCTTTATTGATCCCGAGCCTTATTTTTTTACTCGGGACGACAGATGTGGATCGTGTATGACGTATCACTTTGCATGTAAATACAACTCTCGTCACACATCGATCATTCATTATCGCTCGAAGTCAAGAATAGTCCAAGTCAGAAGTTAAATCTCCTCTTGGCCAGTCAATCTTTCCTCCCTCCCTCCCTCTCTCTCTCTCTCTCTCTCTCTCTCTCTCTCTCTCTCTCTCTCTCTCTCTCTCTCTCTCTCTCTCTCTCTCTCTCTCTCTCTCATCTTCGAACCGAACAGTGGTACTTAACCAAATTCTGCTTTTAATTATATTCACCAAACAATGATGTTGGAGAATTCGTCTTAATAGACACTTGGAGTGTACAATATCATGAGAGAAAGAAAGAGAGTGATAGGGGGGGAGGAGAGACGCGAGAGATTCTCGAAGATCATACAAAACATTTCGATAAGCGGAGAGTTCATGTTGTTCGATCATGCGTCTCCCATTCCTCGGGAACGTCCCATGAAAAAAAATGATTCATCCACTTATTCATTGGCTGCGACTAAATTTACCGACGGGAGGAGGAGGAGGAGGAGGAGGAGGAGGAGGAGGAGGAGGAGGAGGAGGAGGAGGAGGAGGAGGAGGAGGAGGAGGAGGAGGAGGAGGAGGAGCGACTGCTCTAAATTTGATAATCATCCGGCCGACAGCTGTTGCTCGGCCATGGTGATCAGCTGTTCCGTCATACGTGCGGATCTAGTAACTTTCGCATCAGTGCGGTCGCGCATGCGCGTGCCGCACTGCGGAGCGCGGCGATTCGAACGGTATCCGGTGATGATGAGTCGCGAGAATAGTCGACGGAACTTGCTGGAAACCGCTCGCGACTGGATTGCCCGTCAAGACGAATGCGAACGAAGCTCCGTGATGATGGCACGCGAGCGCGACTTTGTCAATCGCGCGATGTTTCATTGAAGAGCCCGGCGAAAACTCTCTCGCGACTTCCGTACATCTTCAGCCGACTGTACTTCATGTTTGCCTCGAGACTGGCGAGAAGTTGGGGCGAGAATTGACGGGACGAGAAGTTCCGCTCGGCGAATGAAGAAGCGACCGAATAGTGGACGTCTGTCTCTCTTTTTCTCTCTCTTTCTCTCTCTCTCTCTCTCTCTCTCTCTCGTACAGTACTGAACGAGAATTTTCTCTCACGTGGGCCGCGAACGGGCCGTCGTGTATCAAGCGGCTGCTGCCGTGGTCGGCACTCGGCAGCGAGGGACGGGAAGCGAGAGGAGGCGCGTACGCAGGCGCATAAAGGACGACGAGTGCGGGCGCGCGAGTGAGAGGTGAGCGTGTGCGGCGTGAGTTCGAGCGAGTACGCGTGAGAACTCGGGCGGCGCGCGGAGCGCCAGTTGTGCCGCAGCTTTATCTGTATTATGCGCCGCTGAGTGAATTGTCAAGTGAAATCAGAAATGGCTGCCAACGAGCAACAACGTAAGGTGAGTGAGTCGCGCACAGCGGCGGCCGTTTTTCCCGTCGATCGCGAGGACGCGACCGCGCCGCACGGCCGACTTTGACCGAGGTCGACCGCACGATTATCGTCGAGCCCACAGAACGACGTGTGCCGACGCGCCGCGTCGCTTTTGTGTCAAAAGTCACGGCTGATCTGTTTGTCCGTACGCGCGTTGCGTTGTGTCGCTCGCACACGACGATGTACTACATGTACTCTTTCTCGCTCGCTCTTTTTCTCTCTCTCTCTCTCTCTCTGTCTCTCTCTCTCTCTCTCTGTCTCTGTCTCTGTCTCTGTCTCTCTTTTGTCTGTGACTCGACTAGGAGGGTATACTCGCTTGCGAGGACGGGAACGAGGACAAGTCGCGACATAGGGCGCGCGAGACACGTCGACGTGGGCTCGACGACGTTCCCCGGGATAACGCGATTCACGGGCTTCCCCCGCGCGCGCCGCATTCTCGAATAATCGCCAGTCTTCATTCAAAGATCGCGCAGTCAGTCGCGATATTTACATCGGCCAGTCGAGCAGCTGTCAGTGCGCGCAAGGCGAACAGTGCGACGTTCGGTGTGCCGAGAGACGAGGGGAAAATGTGCGACGATGATGATGTGAGTGCGTGTTATCTTCTCCCGGTCGTTACGGGAACCGTCATTTCGATCTGTTTGTCCTGTTTCTCTCTCGCTCTGTTCTCTCCTCCTCCTCCTTCTCCTCTTCTCTGTCATTGTCCGTCTCTCTCTCTCTCTCTCTCTCTCTCTCTCTCTCTCTCTCTCTCTCTCTCTCTCTCTCTCTCCTCCTCCCTCTCTCCCTCCCCCTCCCTCTCTCGTCGTGAATTTTGCTGACGATGGTGCAATCGAGGCGCGCTGCGTTCACGCTGCAATATATTGCAGCGCAATATATTGTAGTGTTCGGTGCCGAGGCTGCAATGTATGACAGCTTGCGCTCGTATGAGCTCCCGTTCGACAACGGGATGTTCCTCCTCCGTCTGTCTCTATCCCTTTTTCTCTCGCCCTTCGTTCTGGACGTGCAAAACGACCGCTCAAGCAGCCTGGGAGCGTTCCAGCGGCTCGCACGGCCTCGTCGCGATTCCGCTCGGCCGTGGTCTTCGCGAAAAACATATGCGCCGATCGCCGATCGCCGACGAGACACGGATCGTCTCGTGTCGGGAGTGTTTTCTCAACGACGCGGTGCGTCTCGTTGGGGAAACCCGTCGATCCGTCCAGCAGTCACGGTGTATGCCGCGAGAGGAAATGAAAGAGAGAGAGAGAGAGAGAGAGAGAGAGAGAGAGAGAGACATGGAGATCGAGAGAAAAGGGAGAGACGGTAGAACGCGACGTCTCTCTTTCTCTCTCTCTCTCTCTTCTCTCTCTCTCTCTCTCTCTCTCTCTCTCTCTCTCTCTCCGTTATATTTCCTGCGTCGGGAATACACGAGTCTGTAATACGCCTCCCCATGCCCCGTGCGCCATGCCATGCCCATCTGCGTTTTCGGCTTGTCGGAAGTCCCGATAAGTCTGATAATCGAATCTTATGCTCTCCGCGCTGTCTCGCCTGTGTTTGTATCGCGCTTTGTATCTTGTCTGCTGATAAGCGCCGTCATCGTCGTCGTCGTCGTCGTCGTCATCATTATCATCGTTATTAGCCGACGAAGGCGCTTCGATGCTTTGTGTCACATCGATCCGGGCACACGCTCGGTCGAGCGTTTGTTCGAGCGAATTAATTGCCGTGCAGCAGCGCTGGCCGCTTGGCCGTAGCGAGCGGGCGATCTTCTCTGTCACGAAATTTTCGTGTCATCACGAATAAGCGCGAGCGATGAGTTGCACGACAACGACGACGACGACGACGGCGACGCCGACGGGGCTCGCTCACGTACAGCCTTGCGAGCGGATTTGCTCTCCGCCGAATCGCGGCTGGTCGGTGCTTGAAATTTTCGCAGGCGCGCCTTCCCACCTTGTTGAAACGTCACCGTCTGAGACATATGTTGCAATTGTGAACGCACGCTCCGTTTCGCGTAGGACTAATTTCCTCTCTTTCTCTGTCTCTATCTGTCTTGATCGTGCGCGCACGATCACGATGTTTTCTCGCTTATTTTTGGACCCGGCGCGGCAAGCGATTTTCCCGGAGATCGGCTGCGTTTTCTCCTCCGGACCTGTCGCCTTTCCTTCTCGATTTTCCCCTCTTCCTTCTCTCTTCTTCGTTCCCCTTCTCGGGCCAAGTGCCTCGGCCGAATCGTGCATGTGGATCAATGTCGGGCGTTAAAAGTTTCAGCAGGCAGCAATGTGCGACCCTCAGAGATTGACGAGCCGTGTCACTTGGAAGGCTTCACCTACACACCGGCGACATAACCATTTACGGGCGCGGTGCGAAATCGCGCAGGAGATGATACCATGCCGCGGATGTTTCCCCATGAGCGCAGTGGGAACTCGTTCTCTCTCTCTCTCTCTCTCTCTCTCTCTCTATCTCTCTCTCTCTCTCTCTCTCTCTCTCTCTCTCTCTCTCTCTCTCTCTCTCTCTCTCTCTCTCTCTCTCTCTCTCTCTCTCTCTCTCTCTCTCTCTCTCTCTCTCCCCTTCCCTCTCCCTCTCTCCTCTTTCTCTCGTTGAATCGCGAAATTGTCTGGAATCGTCTTCCGATTTCCACGCGCGGTAGACAAACGCGTCCGCTTCGGGGCGAGGTGGAGAATCAAGTCTTATCGGCTAGAGCGACCAAGTAATAATAATAATAGATGTCCGGGTTGTGTGTGTGTGTGTGTGTGTGTGTGTATCTAACGAGCGAATGTATGAATTTAACGCTTAGATGATCCGCAAAGAGAGAACGCGTTCCTCGCAAAAAGCCGAAATGTTATCTGAGTAGCCTTTTTTCCTCCTGCGCGCTTGGAGAGAAACAGGTTGAGTCCGTGATACACTCTCGCGATGCCTTCGTTATGTAATCGTGTTTTGTACGTCCGCGAGGCGTACATGCAGTTACACATCGCAGATACACATGTAGATTGTTGTGCGAATAAGCAGGAGCCACGCGAAACCCGGGAGCCAGCCCACCATGCGAGACGTCCCATGAACGCGTTCCTCATCTTCTGCAAGAGACACCGCGCGTCAGTGAGATCGAGTTACCCGCACCTGGAGAACCGAGCTGTCACGAGAGTCTTGGGCGAATGGTGGGCGACGCTGCACCCTGATCAGAAGCGTTCCTACACGAACCTCGCGCAGGAGGTGAGTCTTCTTCGCCGAATCGATTAAGTCTCGCGGGAGCGGTAGCTGTTTTGGAATAACGTCTGGCGAATAACACCGCCAAGAATAAAACGCTCATCCGCGACGCTCCTCTTCGTCATTTAGGGACCGCACGGGGAGAGCGGTGCAAGCTTGACTTACCTCTCGTTCTCTTTCACAGTACAAGGATGCGTTTCTCAACGCGAATCCTGATTTCAAGTGGTACAAATTGCCGGCACCACCGCTTCGCACCTTGAACACTAGGCCTACCAACAAGAAGCAAGAATCGAGCAGCAGCAGCAGCGGCGGCGGCGGCGGCGGCGGCGGCGGAGGTGGTGGAGGCGGCGGTGTGCAGTCTGTGGTCAGTGTCAAGCTCGAGTACGAGTCTTCCGATTGTACAAAGTCAGACAGGCGGGACGGACAGTCGATTCAGCCGGGCAAGTTGGCGGACGAGTCGCAGATCGGCGGCCTCAGTTCCCTCTTCACTCCTATAAAGACAGAGCCGTCTGAGGAGGAGACCACGTTCAACGGTATAGCGACGGAAAGCGATGCTGTGCCGAAACCACCCAAGAAGAGGTACACGGAATCACCGTTCCAAGGTGACCAGAAGAGAGACTGCAAGGCAGACCTGTTCGGTGAGAAGAAGAGGAAAAGAGCCGAGTCGAATAACAACGAGCAACAGGAGACGGTAAGAATTGACTCGTGTGTGAGAAAAATGCAGATATTTCGAGTATACCGAGTTACTCGCTGAAATAATACCACTCATTCGCGTTGGTTGTTTAGATCGTGGAGGACGAGAAACACACGTTAAATTCTTTCCTGACGACACCGCCGGAGGAGAGTAACTTTCGCAGCGAGAGGACGTGTAAGGGTTTGCGTTATCAGAAATTCCTTGCCGAGCAGATGAAAAATATCGGTCCATCTGGCCAACAAAGCAAGCGGAAACGAGTGGCTACGAGCCAGAGGTAAGTGACGACAATCTTTGTCCTAGCCTAATGTGAAGAAGCATCAACCAACGCTCTGAAGGGATGTGCCTTTTTTCTCGCATTAGCTCCGAAGAACGCCCGAACGAAAGAAGGAATTCTATTTCCTCGAATGTCAGCGAAAAGACGGATTCGTTGAGCAGCGAAGGAGGGAATAGCTCTCGCGGGGAGTTGGAACACCTTGTGGAAAGGTTAGATTTCAAATCGTTCACGTGTCCTTTTTTTTTGCACGCACGCGAGAATAATTCGAAAATGTATCCGTGTGTTGTATCCAGTGCCGAGGGAAACATGGAAGCTTCCAAACCCGAAGACACGGAAACCGAAGGAGCCGAGGCTCAGTTAGATTTTGGACCTTGGACGGCGCGCAAAAGATTTCGAGCTGAGTAGGTTTCTATTATTGGCCACTATCTATACGATTCTCTATGATAATCTAATAAAATCTTAGATCTGTATATAATAAATGTACATGTGATTTGCATATAGGGATTTCAATCTAGAAAAGAAGATCGAGGCGTTACCATCGTTAAGTTTAGAAGAATTTCAAGAGAAAAAAAAGCAACAACGTACGAAGAAGAAGAAAATTCTGCAAAAGTTCAACTCCACGGCAAGCAGCAGAAAGCACCAAAATAATTCTTCCGCTGGACAGACGAACGGCCAAACTGCTCGAAGAGCAGCAGCGCATGCGACGAATGAGGGCTTCGAGGAATCGGAGAAAGCCCTTCTTGTGGGAAGTCAGAAACGGAAAGCACGAAAACAAACCATCACGAGGAACGCTGCGGCAATCAATTCCTTCATACACTCTGAAGAACAAGAACCAAATAAATGTAAGTTGTAAATTCTTTTTTTTTTTTCACTATTTAATTCTACTTAACGTTGATGGTCTAATTTTGTAACATTCCATGTCGTGCACCGGTGTCTTAATATAACCGAGCTGTCTTCCTTGATTAGAGAGAAAACAGATCGAATGTACGAGATATATATATATATATTTCTTCCATACGATATTACGCGATATACGCGGATACAATACTATGAGAGAAATAGACTTTGACATAAATTTCAATTCTTTTCTGATTAATATTCTGACAATAACTTGAACTTTTCCTTCTCAAGCCTGTGAGAAATTTTTTTTAAGTAAGCCTACCGACAAGCGTGTGTGTTGGCGCTTTTATTTATATATTTATTTCTATTTGTACAAGCTCTCTTTCTCTAATTAACATTTTGCACATTAATAGCTTGGTGCGCGTCTCCGGATCTTGAAGCTTTAGCGTGTCTTGCAACGGTTGCCGCCAACAGAACAAAACTTACCAAAAATAATCCTTAAACACGTTACCGACCGGTCGATGGATATGACGACGAATGAAGTATGCCAGATAGGATCGCACTATGAGAGCTGAAACTTTATTTTCCAGAGTTTTTTCCATGCAATTTCCTATCATTGGGACTATTAAGATATATTTCTTCAAGTGCTGTTATATATTATATACTGTGGCGGTATCGGTGACGATATCGATAATGATTACTGTTAATATCTTTATTGTTAATCTTTACTATTACGAATTTTAATGAATTATGACTGCTATTGACTATAGACTATTCCATTATTCAGTATACGTGAGGGAGGTGTTCTCTTTTTACTTGGAACAATTGTTTTGTCAACGAAACATATAAGGAGAGAAAGTTTTGCTTCTCTATAGTCTTGTGTTTTGTCATGAGAGATCATTTTTCAGTTTTACGGTTTGGGAAATTATATGATTTTATTCGCACGTTGCACCTAAGTGTACATGGAACAATGTTGAATCGTCTAGTACATTATATAATTACTTTTCCCACAAATAGATATAAATATTTTATTATACATTACTAAGTTCGCAACACTTTTAATTGTTCATGCATTTTCTCCTCAACATTTACATAGATCAATTTAATGGAACGTGCTTACGGGGAAATTCAGTCACGGGTCATACCGATGATAAATCTGATAAGATAGCGCATAGCTATGAGGACTGTGACTAATATGAGAGTAGATAGATCGATTTGAATGACTAAGACAATGATAAGAGACAAGCACAAGGTATACGGTCTATTTTCTTACAAAAGATTTATCTTATGTTGCTAAGCTGTTACTTTTCGTTTACACACTGGACAAATTGGATCGTTGTTTCCGTTACATTAATTCGACAAAAATTGTGTAATATTTGGGAGGAACTTTTTTTTTTTTTTTTTTCCCCAATATAAAAATATTTCATCTCACGCGTTGTATTCCCTAGCGGCGTTTTATGTACATAGGTATAGGTGCAGTATTATATACAAATGCGAAATCATGAATATCCTTCACGATAAGACCTGAACATCAAAAAAGGATATAATCAAAAATATGGATATACACATACACATTCATGCGATCGCTGTTTATATGTTGATACATGCATACGTGCGTATAAACACGTGCGTACACGTGTAAATTTAAATATGTACAGAAGAATTAATCGTATATGCGCGTGCATGTTAGACGAGTGGCCCTTTATATTGAAATATGTGTATATCCGTGTATGCATGTAATATATAGCTTTAAGATTATTCATACATATGTGAATGTATATTTATAATATTTATATCAGCTATATATTATCTTACTATAATAAGACCACACGAGGACGTGTGTGTGTGTGTGTGCGTGTGTGTGTGCGTGCGCGCGCGACTTTGTGCTCTGTTTGAGAAAGTAAGAGACTTGTCTGTGATTTCGGCTAAAGGAATTTTTCATATTTTATATTTTTCTATTGAGTTTCTTTTCTGTTTTTCTCTTTTATTCTCTTTCTCCCCTTCTTTCTTCCTCCATTTCTCTCTCTCTCTCTCTCTCTCTCTCTCTCTCTCTCTCTCTCTCTCTCTCTTCCCCTCTCCCTCACTTTCTCTATCTGTCTATCTATCTATCTATCTATCTATCTATCTATCTATCTATCTATCTATCTATATTCATCTCTGTCTCTTTCTCTTCGCCTCTTTTTTCTGCATATATATATATATATATATATATATATAAAATTCTTTCTATTTTTTCCTTTTGTCTTTCTATGTATGTATACATGTATATATAAAAAAACTTTGTAACTTAACGATTAAACTTCATGAACTGTTTATAAAGTGATAGGAGCGAGTATGTGACGTTAATAGGTTTCTCCATAGTTTGGAAGGAAATGTACTGATTATATTTCAAATGTGCCTTGAAAAGATATGAACATAGTGATTAGATAACGACCAACAATATATTTTCGATTCGTTTCGCTCTTCTGACTGCATTTTGGCTGTCATTTGTACCTACTTATTGCAGTATGCAACTGTATTTGGTGCAGGACACTTTACCATCGGGCATAATTGTCCAATTTATAATGACCGGACGTTTAAAGAAATGAAGAATCAGGGGAGAATGTTTCGAATTCTACTGCACAAAACTATCTATGTACCTAGCTTTAAAAAAAAATTGTAATTTACACGAATCTATATACGTGTACATATTGTATACCATTTATATGAATAATAAAAATATAATATTTTGATGTAACGCACTTGTATATTGTATGATGTTAGAGTTTGTTCTTTCCAGCTAAACTTTACCAGTTCAAGATGTGTGACACTGAAGCATTCTTTTTAGCAAAAGTGACATCAGTTGTACTGTTCTTTCCACCAGTGCAGCGAAACTTGGTTCACTGTACTGCTTGCACTAGGTCTGGGATTAGTATGAGCAATTTAGTATGTTGCGAGAGCAAAATTTACATCGATTCAGGCAGTGTATTTGGAAAGGACAAACCTAGTTATTAGGTAGTTATTAGGTACTTTCGCTTTATTAATATACGCACATTACAATATACACATACAATTATACATACTGTTAAAGTTCAAATATAAAATGTTTATCGAGGTTTTTATTTATTTCTCTGGATAAACACCTTATCGAAAACTTCAGCTCTATGTTACCGACTGTGTCAAGGCTCGCTGCAGAGAAATACTCAGCTCCTTCTCCTCGTTCCTGATGATGTTGGTACACACGCTACAGCCTACAGCATGCACACGACAATATAGTTGACAACAGTTGACGCATCGTAACAACTACGACGGTCGTGCGTAATTTTCGTATTCCACGAGTCGGGGCTCTATCGATTCGCTCGATAGACAAATCGCCGCCGATTGTGAATTATATTTCGAGGTTAACTGGCTCTTTCTGCTGTTTATCGAGATGGGGGTAATATTTCTCGAGCACATCGGTGGTACTCGTCTATTCTCCTGCGCTTCTTGCGACACCAACCTCACCAACAGGGGACAGCTGATAAGTACACGCTTCACGGGTGCTACGGGACGCGCATTTCTCTTCAACAAAGTCGTCAATCTGAATTACAGGTGCTTGATTTGTCATCCCGTCTTCTTGGTATCTTCGGATATACTTCTCGGTATCTTGTGTAAATATAGTACTCGATAAAGAAAAAATTTTCGAGTATTTCGAAAGAAGAATTATCTATAATTACCTATTTATATTAGAAACGTTTCATTTCTCTTCAACAAAGATCTTCCATCTGAAGAACTGCACAACTATCTAATTATACATCTCTTCCTGTTGATATCCTCGGTTATATCTTGTGTAAATAAATTACGTGATAAAGAAAAAAACTTTCAAATATTTCGAAGAAAGAATGACATATGTGTGTTTACATTAGAAAAGTTTCATGATGGAAATACTTCCTGAGTTGTATTATCATATTGACATTTTATTGCTCACATTAACAACACATTAAAATAACATTATCTTCAGACTATACTAATGATTGCAATTGGTTGCTGAGAGGCCCTAAAGTTTCTTAAATCTATAACTGTATAAGCTTCAGACAACTTTTATTTAGAGGTGCAATAAATTTTTTATCTTTTTAAACCATTGTATCAAATTTTAATCGAAAGGAAATCGATATAAAGAGATGAAGAAATATGTACAATATAATTTAGATTAGAGGATTAGATACAAATGTCAATTTCACAGTCATACAATGTTTCTGTTTTCAATAATTTTACAATTATAATACAATTTACAGTGAGGTACAGGACAGAGTGATGCTGACCGGTCGTCATATGGTTCGAGATGTCAGCTGCAAAAATTGTGATGCAAAACTCGGATGGGTGTATGAATTTGCAACAGATGAAAATCAACGGTACAAGGAAGGACGTGTTATCCTAGAACGAGCTCTTGTCACAGAGAGCGATGGGTTGAGCGAGAATATTTAATATTTAATACCAAGTAGAGTGTTTAATATATTAAAAGAAAACTAATACAGTTTGTATTTTATTATAACTTGTATTATTTTGTTTAATGTTGTCATCGGTCGTGAGAGACTTTGGTTAGTGCCAACTCCTTTATGCGTAAGCAAGTATTCACGAATGATTGCTCTATTTAATTAAGGTGATTAATAAGTTCGACGTTCAACATTTTCGTGAATATGATATAGTTCCCATTTTGTAAGACTATTTGTTTCCAGCATCTATCATATTAGCATATATTCACATTAAACTTTTAAATTTAATGGCATACATTTTGTATCTGAACTGTCAAATCTTATTCACGATGATTGTTGAATATATATAATGGTAAGTGTAAGATTGATATTTTCTTGTAGATAGAAACATTAATAAACTGACTTCATGTTTGTCAAGAAAATTAAGAAAATGTGAGTAGGTAGAGTGCAAATAACTATGTACCGACGAGAGAAAAGTAGACGTAATATAATATGGGATAGAGAGAATGTTGTGTAACTTTATGTATATATCTGCAATGAATTTGACTGATAAAAACGAAAATGTATCAGGCAATTGCCAGTTTTCTTTTCCTCCTTGTTACCATGCTTCTTGATAACAATTAAATCCGACAGACTTTTTGCAGAATATGATTTTAGATGGGAATTGGAAATATATTTACATATGATGTATACGTGTGGAGCAAAATTTATATATATTTAATATCATAAATATGTCACATGTGTAATGTGTATAATAAATAATTATATACATTTTACACACATGAAAATAATATATATATATATATATATAATATTTCTTTTAGTATTATAAATATTTAATAAATTTTGGTGTAATATGAATAACAAAAGAAATAAGTTTATAAGTTAAATAAAAAGAAATATATATAAATTATATGACGAAAATCTACATTTTTCTGGCTACATACTTATTTTACGAGATATATAATAAAAACGAAAAGAATATTTTTGCTCCTTTGCTCAATGAAATGAACGTTCAGGAACATTAAATATAATTTTTTGTATTTTTATTTTGCATTTGAGAATCTAATTGATATTTATATAACTATATTCAAACTTGGAAATAAAAAGCCTAAATTTATCCGAACACGTGGTCGAAAAGATATACAGTCGATTAAAGAAACATTTGGTCTTTTCTCTTCGTCAATTGTATAGGATTATTGAATGTAGTTTTTTTATTATTATTTCACTCCTGATAGAGTAATCGGCATTTATTTAAATGTTAAACAATTTTCAAGAAAGGTTTGGCTTTATACGTACACGTGAAACATCGAAGAAATATATAACAGATATAAAAGAGATATTCCGTTATTCAGAAGTGCCAAACGTAATTTTTCTATTTTTATTTTATTTCTGATGAAAGTGTAATTATCTTGTTATGTGTATATATATATATATATATATATATATTATATATTATATATGTGTATATATATATATATATATATATATATATATATATATATATATATTACCGTTATCATATAATTGACTATATACATATATATTTAATATATTTATATGCCTACATTGAAAATATATTATAGTATACGTAATACAAACTATGTATTTTTAGTACTACGCGGTACATATCAGGCTATCAATCATGAATCTTTTCCTTTAACGTAAACTCGTAAAAAGTGAAAATTTTCTAATGTAAAAGCATATGGAAATGTTTTCACTTTTCACGAGTTCATGCCAGAGGAAAAGATTCATGATTGATGCCCAGAACGCGGTCTAAGATAAATAACTATTACAGACTAGGTACAGAAGGTAAGCAGGGGCGAATTGACCGTTGGGCCGTGCGCACCGCGTAGGCGCGTAGGCGCGTAAGCCTGATGTGGAGCGTTTCGTACGTTGCTCTATAAAGCCCGGTCCAGAATAGGTTGCAAACACCCAGTTGCGAGTTGCGAAGAATGGCAACTACTAATTACAAAGTGTTATTTTCGGTCGTAAGACACGATTGCGGTTGCTAAAAGAAAGTTGCCCAACTTTTAACTTCTCGACGGCGGCAAGCCGTCAAGCAATCGCAATTGTCTCTTACAACCAAAAATAGCACTTTGTAACTGTAGTAGTTGGCATCCTTTGCAACTCGCAACTGGATGTTTGCAACCTATTCTGGACCAGGCTTTTAGGAATACCCAACTGGCTGCGTTCCGATATATGTATATATATATATATATATGTACCGTTGAGGCGCGTGGCCCGACAATTAATTGGTTCGCCCCTACTTCTCTACTCGGCACATGAAAATACATAATTTATGTCACGTATACTATAGATTTTTAGTGCTAGTAGTGAATATTGGATCGCAGCCTTAATAGGGAGTTTTTGCAATACCGTCACTCAGATATGGTAAACGTAAATCGTGATTGCTATTGATCGCGTACATTGTGACGTTATTTCTGAGCGAATAACGTTCACAATTTACGTTTACCGTTACGTTTACCTGAGAGACGGTACTGCAAAAACACACTTTACTAACTGAATAACTAAATATCGGATAACATTTTGCAAGAGGAATAATAATTTTAGAATTTGCTCAAGAATATGGTATATTAAGGACAAAAAATGATTATTCCGGATCACCTTGTATATAAAAGTCCTTAACTTTTAACGATATTTTTAACGATAAAATAAATGCTGATTACTCTCTTATTAGAGACATGATGGAAATAGAAAAATTAATGCTTCTGACCAACGGATAAATAAAGAATACGAATATCTATTTCATATATTGTAAATTTCTCCAACGTTGCAACATCAGATCATTCCTGAAAAATGTTTAAATGGTTAGATATATGCCGATTATCCTATCAGGAATAAAATAAAGATAAAAAAAATCACGTTCGACGTTCCTATACAATTACGACGAATAAAAACGCATAAATGTTTCCTCAATCGATGTATTGTTTTTTTTTGGTTTTTCGACCACGTGCTCGGGTAAATATATATAGACATTTTTCTAGAAATTTTGAATAGTTAAATAAATGCCAACTAAGCTTTCAAATGCAAAATAAAAATACAAAAAATTACATTTAATATTTCTAAACATTTATTGATCGAAAGGAGCAAAAATATCTTTTTTTCCTTTTCGTTCTCATTGAATACCACGTGGATGGGACAAAGGTTTCCGTCACAATTTTCGTCAGAGTTTAGATAAACTCTGGAATGCGCTTCAGATAATAGAAAAACAGAAAATTTCATTCCATGTTTCTGATGGAAGGTCGATGAATGAAGGAACATAAATATTTTTTAATATCAATTATATATTCTCCGGAATGCCACGCGGTGAATTAAAGGTCCCTCGAATAATTAGATTAAACGCCGCTTATATTTAAAGTGTAAAATAAAAATACATAAAATAACATTCTAAAGTTATCTCCCCAGACATTTTAGACGCATTTAGAAAGATTTTGCCACATGATTGGATGTGGAAAATTTGTTTTCTTTAATATTTTCCAAAATTACATTTAATGCTTCTAAATAACGGTTAAATAAAAAATACAAACATTTACTTCATATATGTTATATATTTCTCCAACGTTTCATAAAATCAGATCGTTCTTGAAAAATGTTTAACGGTTCAATAAATGCCGATTACTCTTTCAGGAATGAAATAAAAATAAAATAAAAGAGTAATCACGTTTAATATTCCCGTACAATTGACGCATGAAAAAGCATAAATGTTTCTTTATCTTCTATATTTCTTAATTGACTGTATATGTTTTCGACGCTTATGCGTTACTTAAGCGTCATTCTGTCTTCTTTCCACATGCACTGAACAATGCACGTGCTCGTTGCGGCCGCAACGAGCACGTGCACGAGTAAATCAAAGCTCTTTCCTTGAAAATTTGAATAGCTAAATCGAAATAGGCCGTCAAATGCAAAATAAGAATACAAAAAAAAAGTGCGTTTAATATTTCTGAACATTTATTGAATGAAAAAGGCGAAAATATATTCTTTATCTTTTTCATTCTTATATCGAACACCTCGTAGCATGTGGTCGGAAATTTTCCACGCTTGAATAAATGCTAATTATATCATCATGTATGAGTTTTGAAAAATGAAAAATGTTTACGGCGGATGTATACTTGTATAATTAACAAGAATAACGTAGTTTTTGTTAACAATTAACAAGAACAAAGTAGTAGCAATTCTCTTTCTACTTATATGCTGCTTCAAAATACACGTGCTCGCAAATGCGCATACTAGGGCCCCGGCGACATTCGCGATCCTCGTTGCGGCCGCATTGTTCAGTGCGTGTGAAAAGAAGACAGAGCGACGCTTAAGTTCTACGCATAAGCGTAGAAAGCGAACGGTCTTTGTCAAATGTGGCTCTGAGATCTTTTTCAGGTAAAATCGAGGCCGCAAATCCTGATTCGCTACTGAATGCGCGAGTGTCCCTCCATGGCAAGGTAAGTGTTTCAGATAACGCCACGCGATTGGTCACCGCCGTCCACCGCCGCGCGGCGATCCAATGGCGACACGAGAACCGAGGTATCGTGAGCGAACCGTACTCACGGCCGTCGCAGTATATTTATATGAGCCCACCGTGTCGCATGGAGCCTGGATTCTCCTAGGCCGGAGACTTGGTAAGATGCAATAGGTCGCGTGAAGTGCGTCATTCTGTGTGTGTGCGCGCGTGTGTGTTTGTATGTGTATGTGTGTGTGCGCCGTCAAAATCTGCGTCGAAAAAGGAATTTGTTGCGTCAGCGAAAGCAGTCTCAACGGCGAGCAGTCTCGCATGCGGTAATTAGTAAGTGCACGAGGTGTAAGAACCCCACGTAGGCGACGAGAGAATAAGAGTGAGAGAGAGAGAGAGGAGAGTCGCGCAGGAATAAAGGGGGAATAAAAACGCTCGTCCGACATCGCGCGCCGACCTGATCGCGAATCGAACCGAGTCGGGTTGTATGTTGTGTTTGCATGCTTTTCAACCCTCTCGCTGCTCGGCAAACGTGCGTTCGCTCGCGTGGTCGCGCATCGCGTACAATCGCGGAGCACGTTTTCGTCTACGATCTCGCCGACGATCTCTCTTCGCGACTGTTTCTCAGCCGCGAACTCCAGTGGTGATTAACCCAGTCGCTACTCTGAAGACCGCTCTTCTCTCCGTGCTCCCTTGTTTTCGTTCTTCGTTCTAGCTCTCATCCGTATGTACTGTATGTATATACACATAAGTACGTGGAAACATGCGTACACACGACAGGCGCAACGTGTGCGTGCGTGTCTTCGGGTCTGTTCCTTTTAGCTGCACTGCTGAACTGGTGCAATAAGTTGGAGTAGGAAAAAATATAGTTGTCTTAATGCACTAGTTCAGCAGTGCAGCGAAAAAGAATAGATCATTCGTCTCTTTCGTTCTGCTCTGCCGGTTTTTCCTTTTCTCTCTCTCTCTCTCTCTCTCTCTCTTTCCTCCTCTCTTTCTCCTCCCTTTCCCCTCCCTTTCCCCTCCCTTTTTCCCTCCTTCGTCCCTTCGTGGTATCATTGGACGCACACACACACACACAGACAAATGCGTGTGACGTCGAGTAGACGGCGTAAGAACGGCTCGTCGGGTCTCGTACCCCCCGCGAATCCGACGATCCCCGTCGCGACGGGGCACGTCGATCTCGTTATCGCAGAGCGGCACCAGCTCGAGGCGGTGCCGACAGAGTTTTTCCGGAAGATTGCATCTCATCTGCCGCCTCCGCGTGGTCGCCCTCCCCCTCGCGGAAGAGTGCTCCGACACACACACACACACACTTCGTCCCCTCTCCGCGTCGTCGCCCTCTCTCTTTCTTTGTCACGCGCGCGATGCCATTGCACCGCCGAACAAATCGTCACAGTAAAAGCTATAAATACACACGCATCGCGCGGGGTAAACAAACTTGACCTCAGTGGAATTCTTATCGGTATATACACACACGCACGGCTACTTTTTGAGGTTATGTCGCGCGGCTATGTCGTCCTTCGTGTCCCTTCGGTGCATCGTTGCGCGCACGGGTGACGACGTTGAGGCGATGATTTCCAAGTCTCGTCGCGCGAGAAGTTCATCGGAGTACAACGTTGTGATTAAAGTTTCAATACACTCGGATATCTGCGATGCGAAACAAAACTTGGAGCAAGTAGCGTAATGAGAGACGTGCGTGTGTGTGCGTATGTGCGAAAATCACGCGTCGATATTGTAATATATCGTCGTAATGCAATCATCGCGTGCGCGCGCGCGCGTGTCATCGTCGCGACGAGGACGAGCTCGTATCGCGCGAAAGTGCGCGACAGAAAATCCGCGGTTACTTCGGCGGAATCTTTGACAAGGCATTGTTGTGTTCGCTCGAGTAGCGTGTATTTTCTCGGACTGTCGTAGACTCGAGGGAGAAATTTCGCGATGCTCGCGGAAGGTGCTCGCGTTCCCTCCCCCCCCCTCCCCCGCGACCTTGCGAATGATTAAAACTCGATTCGATTCGGAAGAGCGAGATTCTTCGCTGGTAACAGCTGATAAATAAATACCGGTGTTTAATCTGGACAGTTGCTGGTTGCAGATCAGCGCTACCGTATCCGGTTCTACGCGTTCTTTAAGACACTGCATTCCCCGTTGAAAAGAGAGAACATTTTCGTGTAATCCGACATGAAGCTATCCGCCGCCGCTCCGTTTTGCGAACAAGTCAGCGAACTCACACGCTTGTTCTCCCAATGGAACGAGTGCGAACAGACCGTCGTTCTCTATGCGCTGCTGCGTCGTATGCCCGCGGTGCAGGCAAGATTCCTGGCAGAGGCGGTACAGCACACTTTGCATTCTGTGTCGCAGCTGGACACGCAGGAACTGAACGCCAATAATTCAGGTAGTTATCAGCAGCAGTTTTGGCATCAAAGTATTTGTCTTGAATAGAGACAATAATTAAGGCACGAGAGTCAGGGGTCTTTGACTTTGCGATGGTCAACCCTTTGAACAGCTCGACTTCTGCATTTAAGAGTGCACTTGAGCGTACATTATGTGCTTATGTGCACCTAACGCGAGTAAAGCAGTTGTATAGTTGTGCTGAGATAAGATACTAGTAGTAGTACTCTATCGCTAGATAGTGGATACGTCAATGAAATATTTTATATTGCAGCTTTCATTAGCGGACTGATGACAGAATCAACAGAGGTTGCAATCCGTGAGCTGCTGGTGCATCTGCCATTGCTGAAACCTGGGAATATAGATTGCAAGGAAGCCTACTTAGCTGCGATACCAGAATTAATAAACCACTGCGTAAGCACTGGACAGTTCACACATCAGGTGCAGCAGCTCTTAAGCTACACTCTGATACATCCGGCCGTAACCTGTCAGGACAGACGTGCTTTAGGTCATTGGCTCCACAATCTGGAGGACCGCATTCGTAATACACCGACGATTCAATCTATGGAGGAATACGCAAACCATACATCAGCGCCTAGGTGAGTGCTTGAATTCGACACAATATCGCCCACAATTGTGTAATATTCAATAATCTCATATCTGCGATATACAAGCGTCTTTTTTTTTCTTTTTCTTCTTTTTTCCTCAATATTGTTCTCTTTTTCATTTATTCCGTAAGGTGGGACAATACATGGTCACGAAAGCTAACCGACATATTCAATACGAATTTGAATGGAACCATGTTTGGTGTGATACCGCCGCCGCCGCCGCCGCCGCCGCCTCTACAACCACCGGCGCCAATAAGTCGTCAACGTCGTTCGAATAGCCTGACGCCACCGGTAGCGACGTCGCATCATCACGAACTCGTTGATCGCACCAGCAATGCGAACAATTCGTCCAGGCACAAGCCTCGCAGTTTCAGTGTTTCCGGTGACCACGCGAGTAATTATCAGCTTAGCCCACCAGTTCTGTTCCAACTCGTTCAACGTGAAAATCTTAACCTAAATCAAGGTCGTCCTGTTTACTCAGGTAGTCTCATTGGTTTGGGACCGTTGAGTCCGCAGGGATCTTGTGCCAGTAGTGGCAGTGAAGGACGTCTTGATGATGCAAATCGTTCTTTAGCGAGCGGTATGCGAGGTAGGTTTGGGCGCAATTCTCCTCAGACTCTTGGCTGATTCAAACAACTCAAGGGTCGTATTCACACACACAGTCGATAGATCATCTTGAGTTTATGACTTTTTTTGCGGATTTGCGGATATCCTACGACGGTGGATCATTTCGTTGGAACATCTGAGGATAAACTTTTATATACATATATAATTTTTTACTTACATATTTATATTTATATATAAGACGATCTTGAGTAGATATCTTAAATAATAAGATTCGATTAGAAATACCGCCTTAAACGGTATATAACGGTATATAACGGTATAAAACGGATCTATAATGGTCGCAGTGTATATCGCAACGATATTCGCAAGCTTTTATCGCAACAGTTGCGATGTTTGAAACTGTTGCGAATGTTTGCAAATGTTAAGATATAAAGAATCACTATATTTCCTTTCTATTGCCCTTTTATTGTTCGGAGGAATTTTATTTCGATCTAGTTTTCTCCAATAAGAATAAAGCTAGATAAAGATCGACTGTGTGTGCGACTCGGGCCATCTTTTACAGATATAGCCTTTACAGCTCTCTCTCTCTCTCTCTCTCTCTCTCTCTCTCTCTCTCTCTCTCTCTCTCTCTCTCTCTCTCTCTCTCTCTCTCTCTCTCTCTTGTGGAATATCTCAATCTATGTACATAAATCTATGGTATTTGTCTATACTTAATGGTCAAAGGCAACGACGTCATTTACATACAAATGTAAATACTGATATAAACACACGGTGTTTGCGACCACGATCATTGTAGAGAGGCTCTGAGAGATTCAATTTCAAAGTTCAAAACTGTCTGAACATCTGACAAGCATCCCGAGCGCGTTCCACGATCACATAATCTGAAAACGTACTTCTCTTCTCTCTCATCCAGACGTGCCGGTGTGGCTTAAGACATTGCGCCTGCATAAATACAGCACGTTGTTCTCCCAGCTGAGTTATGAGGATATGTTGGCATTGACTGAGGATAAATTAGTGGCACAGGGTGTTACGAAGGGCGCCAGTCATAAGTTGGAGATCTCCATTGGTAAGCTGAAGCAACGGTACAACACACTTGTGAATCTGGAGAAGGATCTGCTGCTATCTACCGACGCACAAGCCAGCTCATTCACGCAAGGCCCGACGATGCTCGTTAATGTGACGGACGAGCTCAAAACGATCCTGACTACTCCCATGAGACCGAGTCAGGAGAGCGATCCGCAGGACATCCCTCAACAGTACACCAGAGTACTGGGCAAACGTGAGTGCACAACGGTCATCATGTGACTTGCCGTTGAGGTAATCGAGATATGATAAAAGTATTTTTGCAATTCAGTGTACACCAAGTTGGCTCTGGAGAACGTAGATGATAATATCTTGTGCGCTGGCATCAGCATCTTCGAGAAGGTATTGCAGCACGACTGCTTTACCACGAGTCAGAAGGACAAAGTGCAACAATGGCGCACTAGACTCGGCAATCCGCGACAAACTTCAAAGTAAGTCAGCACAACGTAAAGCGGTTAAGTTGCATAGCTCTCCTCGCGCTAACGCGACAAGAAGCGACGTCCTTGGCGAGTGCTTCTCTTGTAATTGTGTTCAACTTCGGTATTTCCGGAGGAACGCGCAAAGTCGACGGTGAGTCGCACGATCTGTGCGAGACAAATCAATGATCGCTTCTTGTCGCTCATACAAGTAAATTCATTCTGTATCCCGCGTTTGGGTAATCAACCAAGGTAAATCGCAGCGTAAGCGCGCACGATAATGCCGTCGATTTAATCATAACGGGAGTGCATTGCACGTTGGATTGCAGATGGCAACAGAACTACGGATACAACAATCGAAGATACGGCAATTCGCAGCAGCACAATAGAAAGCCGAGCCTGAACTCGAGCAACGTTCACAGTACTCACAACACACACAACAGTCACTCCTCGTACATGGTCAGTCCGCACAGAAATCACAGTATATCGTATTATCAAAATAGCTCGAATCAGGCTATAGCTCATCTACGTCCTACTTCGATCGAGAAAAGATCAAGCTTGCAAGAGACCACCAGTTTGCAGGTGAGAGAAAGACACTTAGTGTCGCCTTTCCCTTCCTTTTCCTCAACCGTCCCTTCTTCCGTCCCGTTCTTTCTCACTTATTCAAGATAAATCTCTTGTTAATACTGTGCCTCTTTTCACAGCAAATGCAGAAATCGTTTTACCGTACAAATAGCGCGCCAAGAGATCACTTTGTGGAGCCCGAAGCTTCTGGCAGTAATGAGACGAAACCGTCTTCGAGTCAGTCGACGGCGGAGATCAATGACTGCCTGGAGTCTCTCTGCTTGAGAATGACTGAGCAAGCCCTCGACACCTTCGGCGATACTTAATCTTCCATTGTCGCGTTTATAGAACTTACGTAAATAAGTGAGTACTGTGCGAATAACCTCCTTTTTTTTTTTTTTTACGAAGACAGTTGTAAGATCGTTGAAGACATTCTGCCAAAATTACGAGACGGTGCGTTTTCGTTAGAAAAGAAAAAAAAAGAAAGAAAAAAAGAAGAAAAAAAACGACGGTGACGGCGAAAGTATATGTTTCTTGTGTGTGTACTCACGAGTATACACATCTATGCTTTAATAGCTTGAACCAAAAATGTCCGGCATGTGCGACATTCTTATTAAAAAAAAAAAAAAAAAGAAAAAAAAAGAAAAAAATAATCGACTCCTATACGAGCGTGTAAATGGTATTTTTTATTATAAAACTGATACAATTTTATTATTTGAATTTTTTTAATACATTTGAGTTTGACGGAATTTGGTAAGCCAAGTGCTACTCGAAAGATAGATTCTTTCCCCTTCTTCTTTTGCAACATCTATATAAATTTATTATATAAGGAGAAATGCATACCTACCTACGCACGTTTTCACATGTGCACATATGACACGCGTGCACGCGCGCGTACACCCATATACAGAGGATTTTATGAATGAAGAAGTAAGTTATATATAGAATACGATTAAACGGAATGAAAATGGTTGGAAACAGTTAGTACTTTTACCGCAATATTATTTTTCATGTTATCCATTTCATGAAATGGAATTTGCCTGATTTTAAAATGCAAGAGACATAGTTAATGTAATTCATTTTAATGAATAGACTGAATTTATTTCTTTTTAATATCTACTATTTCTAGGCACTATTACTATTATCATTAATATTAACATTATATTAGTATAATTTATATTTTTACTGTTATCACTATTTCGACGTCACTCTTGCTAATGCTACTATTGCTCCTATTTACTATTACTCTATCGCTACTACTAATACCACAGCAACAGCTATTGCTACTACTACTACTACTACTACTACTACTACTACTACTACTACTACTATCACTACTATCACTACTACCACTACTACCACTACTACTACTGTTCTATCAACCACTATTAAATACTATAATCACTATTCTTAATCACATCATCATCACACTATTAACGCCTCCTATCACTATTGTTACTATCGCTATTACTATTACTGTATTGTTAAAACCTCATGTAGAGAACGAGCATACTTATAAAGAGTTTGCTGCCGTGTCGCATGTGTTAAAAAATCCGCAATATCTTTATTCAGACTTTAATCTCAGCTAAAATCACGCAGACGTAAGCACGTGTGTACGAATACGACGTGTGTATGCTTCGTAGTTGGCACACAGATCTCGCGATTTCCCACTTCTTTTGGCGAATTTTATCGCGTTTTTCTTTCGCGGTTATTCTTTTTTGTTCCGTTTTCTTCTTACCGATACAATGGTAGGCTACTGTGAGAACGCAAGTAAATGACTTAGTAAATGGATAATAAGGGCCTTATGGAAAGAAATGAGCGAACGCGCAAGAGCTGTAGGAAATTTAATATTACAAAGTAGCAGTGAAATTCGCGGCGGCGCGGTGAATGGTGGGAGGCAGACTGGCGCTATGTAACGTGGCGCGACATCGAAATCTGTGGCTTTACAATGTAAGCATACATCAATATTCAATCTTTAGCACTTTGAGGTAGTACGTTGCGGGTAATGTAGCATAATATTTTTTTGTGCAAGAAGATTGACTTTATTAAATGCATTAGAAAGTACGTATAAACTATATCCAATTGATTGCATTAATTGCAAAATAAAGAAAAAAAAGGTAACTAAAGACTGAACATTTCACGTGCCACGGTCCGTTGTTAGACTCCGGATGCTTTATTGTCCTTCCGTTCGCGGATCTTGTGCGCGCGTGAATGTAATAATTGGAAGACTGGGTTAAAAAAAAATTCAGAATATTAAGAAGTAACTAAATGAGCGAACGAGTGTTTGCGCGAGCGAGCAAGCGAGAATGGGAGAGAGAGAGAGAGAGAGAGAGAGAGAAAGATGTGAAAAGAGTAACTTGAATTGAGAATGAAATGAGAATACTTGATTAGTAGTTGTTAAGACGAAGCTAATTTAAATTTTTAGAGATACGTAGTGATTACCGATAGTGATACTCCATTCTATATCTACTCTCTAAGAAAATATATAACTATGCGGTAATATTTCGTCGACCCGGGAATACCAACAATACTGATGCGTGATGCGTGCGAGAAGAATAGAAACGCGATAATGTGGTCTATATATATATATATATATATATATATATATATATATATATATATATATATACATATATTTAGTAATTGTAAAACGAATGATCTACTTACTTCACGGTTATTTCGTTTCGTGCACGAACCGTGTATGTTACTCGATCAACAGGCAGTAGCAGCAGTAGCACCGTCAAAACGTTATCCGATCGGTTGTACATTGTGAGCTACGAAATCCATACCGAATTTTATATGATCAAAAGCTAGTCAAATCATTTTCTTTTTATTTCTACCAATTGTAACGTGTATAGTTAATTAATTGTACATTAAATCTGCGTATATATATATGTACACACATACACACACATACACAAATATATATATATATATATATATACATCACACAATACCAGACACGTATTCTCCGTGTGATACATGCGAGTTGTGTAACATACGTTTTCGTACTAGAGAGACAGAGAGAGAGAGAGAGAGAGAGAGAGAGAGAGAGAGAGAGAGAGAGAGAGAGAGAGAGAGAGAGAGAGAGAGAGAGAGAGGGGATACGTGTCTCTATAAGATATACATAATACACATATAGACACTATTTACCGCGTTATAAATACGTATATATATATACACATACATACACACAGACATATGATATAACCGAGATGAGACGCATGCGAAGAAGCTCAAAGACTGCTCGTATAAGCGAGATTAGGAATTTCATTCAACGTAGAGTTACTACATACTATTTTACACCCCGAAATTGCTGCATCTAATCCAATTGACAAAGGCAGGACCTGAATTAAAGTGGATGCAAAGAGATTTTTATTCGCGAAACGTATATAAGATCGTGATAAAGTCGATGAGAGAGTAGAGAGGGAGAGAGTCAGTGACGAAGAGAGAAAGAGAGAGAGAGAGAGAGAGAGGGAGAAAGAGAGAGAGAGCGAAAGGAAGAAACTGCGTGATGATCAATCCTGCCGATGGTCGGGGCGCCGCCGTTGCGTTAATTTAATCCCGTCGACCCATCTTACATTAGACTATCGTTATTGTTGTTTGTAGTGAGGAACTCGCGATTCATGTAACGACTTGTACTTAGCGCTCATAGCCATTATATCGTGAGAAAGAAAAAGAAACGCCGGGCACGTATAGTGCGCGCGTCTCGCTCGTCGTTAATGATCATAATGATTAACGATCGGCGGCGGTAAGTCGCGGGCGAGCGATCAAACGAACGGATAAGCGGAACGCTTCGCCGAATATTGTCATTGGTGAAGCGTTCAATCGTCGAGTCGGGTAAAATCAAGGTGTTATGTGTGAAGGAACGATTAACATCGCGGGCACTTCGATTCGAGCAGTGTTCCCCTCGACGAATGCAAAGTGTCGAGATGTCATCGTGCGCTAAATATTACGTGCGCGCGGGTTGCATCTCGCATGGTGATATGCAGAAATTCACGAGTGATAAGCGAAAGGATATCAAGTTTGTTCTTTTTCGAAGGACTTTCGAACTAGTGTAATTGGCCTGCAGCTTTGTAACTGCGCTGCTGAACTGATGAGCAATAAGCTAGAATGAGAAAACCTATATCTGTCTCACTTTAACTTGTTGCGCCAGTTCAACAGTGCAGCTACAAAGAACAGATCAAATAAGTTGAAGTGAAACAAATATATTTTCTCTCATTCTGACTTATTGCACTGGTGTGTACTAGTTCGAAAAAGAACAGATTTACAGAGAGAGAGAGAGAGAGAGAGAGAGAGAGAGAGAGAGAGAGAGAGAGAGAGGAATAGATATATTTTACTCTCGTTGCCGACGTAATGACGAGGTTCACGTGCTTGCACTGGATAAAAGTGATCTCTTGCTTGTGTAGACGATACTTACGTATTAATTAACGGGAAACTACGATTTGACGATGTCGATAGCTACTGCTGTACAATTAATACGCAAGTATCGCAACAAGAGTCGCACATAACTGCCTGCGTTCTCCCAATTGCTCGCGATTGCGTTCACGTGTGCATGTACATTTTATACGTTCGACTCGCTGCATTTGTCTGCGATGACATTGAGCTTTTCTCTCCAGCAATTCTCGAGTTCTGGAAATTGACGATAAAATGTGTCACGTTTGCACACATGTCTCTGTATATCCCGTGATCACTTATCTGTTCGTTGACCTCGGTGCAGGATAGATGTTGTGTTGTATAGGAATGAGAACGACTCGAGAGAAGAGAAATTCGCGGAATAATCTTTGGCCGGATACTTGTATTCCTGCCCGCGAGTAATCGATTGCTCGATAGTAGAAATTTGGCGTACATGCCGCAGCAACAGCAGTAGATAGTGACTTAATGAAATCTCGAAGAATGAGGTAAGAGACGAGACGAGTTCCCGGCCGAAGGCGATCCGCGACAGTGACGATGGTAGTCAACTAAGAAAAAACGAAACTATCTAGAACTTATCGGAAACGGAAACTTGTCTGTGGTGGTTGAAATCCGCCGGATGCGTATAAAAGTGACTGACTTTTTGCTTTAAGAAACGCGTCAAGCGAACACGGAGAGACGCGTTTCTCTTTATATTTCCTCCCCACTTTTTGTTCTCGCGCGGAGATCGCGCCATCGCTGGCGTGTATACTAGTGTTCACGTTTTGCCGCAGCTTTTCCAGATAACATTTAAACATTGTAATAAAAGAGATCCTTTTGAATTGTCAGATTAATAAATGGAAATACCTTAGACATGTAAGCTCGGCAACATGTAAAAATGCAATTTTTGTACTGTAAAAAAAAAAAGTTAAATAGACGAAGGAACACTAATGTTGTAGTGTGAAGAGACATTTTCCAATAAAAGATTTTTAATACGCATATAATCCGTGTAACTGTGTCTTATACATGTGTGTATGTATCTTCTTCCCATTTACTCCGTATCTCTTATCATTTATGCTTATTTCGAGCTGCAGCTTCATATTTATATTGCAACCACGATTATTCCTAAGAGGACGTTGACGCTCCGATTCGAGATCTCTCTGGTCGCTCTAAAACGGTGCGTCGAGATGTATGTTGACGTTTAATTCCAAAGCCTCCGCTACAAGCCTCTACTGTTCTT